CCCACCCCCGAGTCAGCAGAGCCCAAGCTACTCAAGATCAGGGAAGAGGAGATGTTTTGATAGTTTTACAGCAATGCCGCAAGCACATCTCTGTACCTTCTTGCAAGAGTGAACTGAAAGGGTTCACTTATATTGGAAGGGGGGAAGGTTTTGGCCCATCCCAGGGGGCAACAGCCAAAGCTTTTACCAGCTTTGACATCTGATGGATTTTGGCAAAGAGTTAGTGGTCATCAGAGCATGAGATGAAGTCACATTGGAGTAGCTGCAGACCCTTCTTTCTTCGTTATACCTCAACGTACAATGTAGGCAGAAAAACAAGCCCAGCCCACCTCCTTTTTGTAGCCTTGCCTGATAAGATCTCAAAAGCTTATACACATATTTTACCTACCACTTCAGTTAGCCTAATAAGGTATTGCCCTAATTCAGGTTTTGGAATTTGGCTCATGTCCAGTACAGCTCAATCTGTTTTTAGTGAGACTTGGTCTGATTGTTGTCAACCATTACAAGGATATGCTGTGGATTTTATCAAGAGAGTGGTGTTGCAGATGTCTAGCTATGCTATTTATCCTATGTATTAAGGACTGTAGCCCCTGGAGACAGTTCTTGTATGTTGTTCAAAACATGCCAGGAGTTATCATGTTTTAAAATTAATAAAACTGTTCCTTACATATGCTGGTTGCCCCCTTACTTTTTTGTATAATATATCGTAAACATATGTTGTAGTAGTATAACTATTAACAATGGTACAGTATGTATTATTTTTCTCAAGAGAAATCCTGGCACCTGAGTGAAGTATGATAGTGTTAATACCAATCCTCCGGATAAATGAGGCTGAGGCTAGGAGATAAATCCAGTGAGTTGATGACTTGCAAAAGATCTGAACAGACTGCCTGCATTCTGGCTTTATAAGAGCCTTTTGTCCGGTTCCTAGACTGATCTGCATTCCCTTTCTCTCCCTTTAGGATACCCTTTTGCCTTGTTCCAGCGTCATTTCCTTTTCCAGAAAGAGCTCTACCTCATACATCTCTACAACATATTAATGGGGCTCTTGCTAGCCTACTTCAACTTTGGTAAGGGGGCTGAGAAGATGGCTGCCCAACTAGTGAGTACCAGCGTGTGGGAGGGCGAGTGGGTGCTGCTGTTTGGGGTGGTTTCTAATCCTGCCCTTGTTTGCCTTTTCAGGGACACAGTTCTGCCACTCGCTCATATGTGTCTTGGTTCAGTTTCTCATACTGAGGCTTATGGGTCGCACCATCACTGCCGTTGCCACTACTTTCTGCTTCCAGATGGTAAGTGTGTTCTCTTCCTCTCTGGCTTTCTGTGGGATTTTGCTTTTGCTTACTTCTCTTCTGTTCAGCAAGCACTATGCAGGAGCATTTGGGGCAGACAATAGACCATAGAATCTGGATAGTAATGTATCATTATGGCTAATGGTTTTTCAGGCATATCTGATGGCTGGCTATTACTATACTGCCACAGAGAGCTATGACATCAAATGGACCATGCCACACTGTGTCTTGACTCTCAAACTGATTGGTAAGCATTTCTGTTCCACCCAATTTCTCACCCACAGATTTCCTCCTATACTCAAACTATCTCACTACCTTGGTGTCTTACCCCAGAGAGCCTAGTGTACTTTTCTTAGTTGGTTCTCATTTACATGTCATCATCTCACTAGAGGAATCTCAGAACAGTTCACATGGGGCTCATACTCTTCTCCCAAAGAGGCAAAGATCCAGTTGTGCAAACCATTTGTCTTTTTTATTCCCCTGCTGAACTTTTTCGTTTCTACTCAGCATTTTCCTTTCCCCTCTCTAGGCCTGGTCATCGATTACTATGATGGTAGGAAGAAGGCGGTGAGTGAAATATTTATTTTCTTTCCTATTCCTCTTTACTCGGGAACTGAATAAGCAGAATACATTCTTTGCAATTGCTGGGTCACCTTAAGTCAGGGGTCTCAAACTCAATTTACCTGGGGGCCGCTAGAGGCAGAGTCTGGGTGAGGCTGGGCCACATCAGATTTTCCGCCAAGCGGAGCAAGAGCCTGAGGAAGCCGCCAAGGAGTTTCCTTAGCCAACAGGCAGGTGGGCTGGCTGGCAGGCTGCAGTTCCGGATGGAGGGTGCAAGAGGTGCTGTCTTGGGAGAGAGCCGGTGAGCGAGGCAAGGCTTTTTTTTTTTACTCTTGACAGCAGAGGATGTGCGGGCGCTTTGGGGGAGGCAGGCAAGGCGAGGGCCACAAACTATCATCTGGGGGGGCGCATGTTGAGACCCCTGCCTTAAGTGTATCGATTCCCGCAGAATGCTCTGTGTAGGGTAGAAACTATCCCATTTTTAAAATAAAGGTTAGGAGGTTTTCTCAGTGTGAACTCTAAATACTTGTATTTATAGAGAAGAAGAAAGCATCCCCAAAGGGGAAGGATTGCCAGAATCCTAGTAACTAGATATAACAAGATGCATTTATTAAAAGAAAACTGAAAGGCTAAAGGGATATTATTCCGTCTTTCTAAAGGTTCAGTAAGCAAGCAGCAATATTCATGCCATCCCCAGCTTGATATCCCAGTTGACAGAAATAGACTTTGTGTTTGTATGGTTTTAAAGCAGCATCTTTAATACGTATCTTGAAAACATGTTACAGTATGTTTTTACCACATAAAAGTGGGCTTCCCACAAAAGGAATGATCCCTGCTTCAGTACTCCCCTATGACTGAAAATGCATTTTTTTTCCATTGGCATTTTACTGGCAAATTATGCCAATGGAGATAGGAGTTTAAACTTCAAATCCATGACAGTATTAGAGTCTATGTTGGCACATTGTCTTACATTAAATCAGTTCATATACCCAGGCACATTATCTTACCCTCTGCTACTGACCTTTGAGTCCCAGCAAAGTGGCAAGGGAAGATGAAAAACTGAATTCTGAAGTAAATTTATTCTGGGTATGAGACAGAGATTGCCTGCAGGCTTATCTCCCATGATCGGGCACATACGAGACAGTAGTATAGATCAAGGAAACATCCTGGTACTGTATACATTTTCTATCTTCTGGATGTATACTGTCTTCACAAAAATTTCAGCTGTTTCCAGGTCTTCATATAATGAGACCAGGTCTGTGTTCATATGTAGATAACGAATCTTCTTAGCCCCTTGAGGTGTGCAGTTTCTTACATTGATAACACAACATCCGGGGGACAGTGAAAACTGAGGAAGCATGATGTTCTGTGCTACTTTGCCCTTGAGGTTGTCATGGCATCTTGTGCCAGTCCCAGGCCTGTATCTGTTGCTACAGTGCCAGGAAACAAAGTGGAGGAGTTCTGTAGCTGGCAGTCACTCAAGTAACATCCAGTTGCATCAGAAAAAATAGGAAGCATATATCTTCACACAACACAGTTAGGATTGTGGATGTGCTTATACAGCATGCCAAAGGTCACAAGCTGTCTGTGTCAGGAGGGCCTTCTTTGAAGTATTCTTGCATGTGGATGTTCTTCAGGGGCTCTAGAACAAGTGAACTGGAGAGTTTAAAGACCCCAATCTTCTTGGAAAACTACAGCCATAGGCCAACTAATGTGGAGTTTTTTTATTGTAATACAGGAGGACCTCACCCCTGAACAACAAAAATACGGTGTTAAAGGAATTCCTACTTTACTAGAGGTTGCTGGGTTCTCCTATTTCTATGGTGCCTTCATGGTGGGGCCTCAGTTCTCCATGACACAGTATCAGAAGCTGGTAAAAGGCGAGTTGACGGATGTCCCAGGCCAAAGACCCAACAGGTAATCCTCCATAAGTTTCTTAAGCACTAACTCTCAAAGTACCCCTATGTGAGGATGCATCTGAGCTATTTTCAGTGTCTCCTGCTAATAAGACTTAACGCACACTGTGAGACATTTGGATATTGCAAATTCTTCATTGAGAATATTCACAGTAGTGGGCTTTGTGTCAATTTTCTATTTAAACCCATAACCCCTCCCTGAACCTGTTCTGAAACTCTCTATGATGTCTTCTTTTCCCCTGAAACTCATTTCAGTTTTGTGCCTGCTCTGAAGCGAATGATGCTAGGCTTCTTGTTCATGGTTATCTACACAATGGCAGCCCCATACCTTTCTGAGGAATACCTTGTTTCTGATGCTTATTTGGTAAGTAGTCCTAGAAAGGTGGAATCCTAACTAGAGTGGGAAGAGTAACAATTAGAAATAAGGGCCTAAATCCAACTATTAGCACCACAGAGCAAAACTGTTGTATCTGTGGGTTTTAATGTGTTGAGTTGACCAGTCAGGAATTGATTTCATGCATCTTCTTTACTTGGGAGTGACAATTGCATTTAGGTCAAGAAATGTTATAATCTGAATTGAAAATGATGATAATGGAAGGATAAAGGAATGACAAGTTTGTTTTTAATTACAAATTACTGTACTGAGGAAGGATGTCAGCTATAAGTGCACTTGACTGCACTGATGTGACATAAACTAATAGCCAGCTAACTCTGTAGCCCAAAACTTATGGATGTTAACACTGCAGTCAGGAAGATGTCATGGCAGAGCCACAGGGCACATTTTTTCTTGTATGTGTTCTTTTGCTTAAGTTCTACTTAGTACTTTCTCTTCTGGAAGAAACTTTCTGGCTACCTCACATCTCCACACAGTCTTCTTAAGAGGCATCAGAAAAGCTTGCCTGAGAACCTATAATACAGACAGAAGCCTCTACCTTGCAGGAAAGGCTACACAAGAACACACTTAAAAAAAAAAAGACACCGCTCATTTCTAAATGATTCTGGTCTGGTTCTCTTCTCAAGAAGCATCAGAAAAGCTTGCCGGAGAACCTATAATACAGACAGAAGCATCTGCCTTGCAGGAAAGGCTACACAAGAAGCCACTTTAAAAAAAGAAAAGACACTGCTCATTTCTTAATTCCGGTCTGGTTCACATTTATATACAGTACAGTGGTGCCTCGGCTTACAAATTTAATTGTTCCGGAACTCGGGTCGTAACTCAAAATGGTCGTAAGTCGAAGCACCATTTCCCATAAGGCTACACAAGAAGCCACTTTAAAAAAAAGAAAAGACACTACTCATTTCTTAATAATTCCAGTCTGGTTCACATTTATATACAGTGGTGCCTTGGCTTACGAATTTAATTGGTTCCACAACTCGGGTTGTAACTCAGAATGGTCGTAAGTCAAAGCACCATTTCCCATAGGAATGCATTGAAATGCAATTAATCCATTCTGGCCAAAGGAAAAAAACCACCACAAAAACGACAGCAAGACCCATCGGAAATGTAATTGATCCGTTCGGGCCGAAGGGAAAAAAGAAAAGCAAACAAACCATGCAAGGCCCTTCAGAAATAAAAAAAAGCAAAGCAAAAACCAAGCAAACCCCACAGGACCCATCGGAAATGGGGGGGCAAAAAAGCAAACAAACCCGCAATACCCATCACAGCATAGAAACATAATACCACCATCCAGCCCAAAACCACACTGCAAACCCCATCCAGAACAGTTTTTAAAAAGCAGAAAGCAGCACCTTACCTCACCTGGCAGTCCAAAGCTGCCTCCAGTTGCACTCACTCTAACTGTTGGGGCGAAAGAGCTACAAAGCAACTGCCTCTTCGCCTACCAACAGTTAGCAATTTGAATTTCCCGCCCTTTTCCCCTGCCTTTTTGTGTTCGTAACTGGAAGCTCCGGCCACAGGGTGAAGCAAAATTTTGCGGCCGGAGCTGTTCGTAAATTGAAATGGTCCTATGTCGGGATGTTTGCAAGTCGTGGCACCACTGTACTGCCCTCCCATAAAGTCAAGCTCCTTATGCAGCATACCTCATGGATTTCTCATCCTCTCACTGAGGTGAGGGTATATTTATTTTACAAAGGCCTGCTGCTGTCTAGAGAAAATACAACTTATGAGTTACCTCATATGCTCAGGTCCTATGGGCCCAGATGCAAACATATACACTGGACAAATATACATAAACACATATAAGTCTTTTAATAATATCTTGCCTCAGCATGACCTTTTTTCTGTATCTCTGCATATTAACTTCAAGTTTAATTAGAGCTTTTTGCCAAAATGCAATACCTGATACACTGTCAGATTCTGAAACTTGAATTATATATGACACTACTTGTGAATGAAAGGGTGTTTAATTCTGCTGTTTTTATTCTGTAAAAAAAGGAGAGAGAGAGAGAGAGGTTAATGGGGTTGGGAGAAACTATGGGAAAAAAGCAAGTGGATGTGATGATTATAGCAGAGGCCTGGGGTTGCACATACTAACCCCTGAGCCTTGGAGGGCCATATCTGCTCTCATGGTGCCACTCCTAAAAATATCAGTATGATTTTTTAAATGCAACACTGGGGGACAGAGGTGCTATTGGCTGTAAAGATGGCAGAGTTATCCCCCATGCTAGAGGGGACAAGAATGAGTTGAGACCCAGATAGCCTTGATACCACTGGAGGAAATCTGAGGTATGAAGGGCAATAAATACATATAAAGCAAATAGCAATCCTGCTCTCTTGCCAGGAAAGAACTAGGGAAAAGGTTATGTACTTCTCCCAAGGGCACCACCTCAGAGTTTTACCGCTTCCTGAGGAGGGGAGGGGACAAGCAAGAGAAGGCAGTGGCTTGCCTTTTCCTCAACATATATCCCTCTCCAACAGCGGAAATATGTTGTTCCAGACGGCCCTCAGAATCAGACCAGCACGTCTTTTAATGTCACCATGATTTACCTACCGCATGTTCACTTTTCCTTTACGAATAAAGGCAAGGTGTGCAAAAAAAGGAAATTCTCCTGTTCTCTCTGATTGGGGATAATTGGGAGGGGGAGGTTCCCTATACCACTTCCGAATTCTCCTCACGCAATGTATGTTAAGGCACTTGTTACAATATTTGGAATTGTATTAATAAAGCTGGTTTAAATGGTTAAAGAGTCATGTTTAAAGTTGATAGGGAAATGGATTATTTTTATATTGTGAGCAGCTCCTGAAAGACTAAGGTATTGAAGATCAGCTAAGAAAGACCTGGACCTGGCCATTATTAATATGCTGTCTATGACTTCTAATGCAATTCTTACAAATTTACTCTCTTCCAACAGGAACAACCCTTCTGGTTCCGCTGCCTTTATATATTGATGTGGGGCAAGATAATGCTCTACAAGTATGTTACCTGCTGGCTGGTCACGGTAAGTCTGAAAGTAAACATGCTCTGCGGATTCACATCCACCATTTGAATAAGGCAGGGTGATATCAAGGTAAACTCATGTATGTGGTCTGTCTGCCTGGTTTTCATTGCAGGAAGGCGTCTGCATCCTCACTGGTCTAGGATACAATGGAACTGATGACAAGGGGAGGCCAAAGTGGAACGCTTGTGCCAACATGAAAGTCTGGTTGTTTGAAACAACTCCTTATTTTACAGGGACCATTGCCTCTTTCAACACCAACACCAATGACTGGGTGGCCCGGTAAGCAGTACTGACAGACTTCTGCAGACAGTTTTAGAAAGGAAATCTTGCTACAGGAAGGGCTGTGGGGTTTTTGTAAAGAAAGATGCAGAGAAAGTATGGTGTCCAGAAAATAACCTGCTGTCTTTTAAAGCAAGTGTTCACATATGAATGTTTTGGAAGTTAGAATAATGTCTAGTATAACCACCTGAGCCAAAGAAATTTAGTAGGCGTACCAATGGCCAAAAATAGTGCTTCTGTACTCTGAATAGCTCCTTGCTCTTCCAGATTAGCCAAACCCAAAGTTATTATAGTAAGTCCCAAACATGTTCTAAGCAAACATTATTTCAGCTAGATTTTACACTTGTCTTTCTCCTATCACAGAACTAAAAATAGGACATTTCTAGAGGGTATCTCACATGGCCACCAACCACCATTAGCAGAGTGGCTGTCATATGACCTGACAAGGCACACAATATAAAATAATCTCAGTTGTGTCAATTCAGCCAGTCTATATTACATTTGCTTGATCACTTCTCAGCTGCAATTCTATCCAACTTGAAAGCAGTGATTGGTGAATCATTTTTGAAACTGATAGGAGTGGAATTTCACACCACCTTTCTTTTCTATCCCACAATTTGTTCAGCACCTAACAAGAAAAATGCCTTCACACCCTGGCATTTCTGTGGCCTTTTTCTTCTGAAATCTCCACGATTCTTTCTATACCTATGGATAGTGAATAGCTTCCACATGATAGGATATCAACATAACTTCTAGAGAAAAAGTCTGGGTTTTGTTTTGCTATTCTGTGAAGAATGCGATGTTTAGAAACTTAACACTGCATATGTTCTTAAAATTTGCTTAGGAGAATGCAAGCACATCTACAGCACATTCACCCTGTTATCTGGAAATCAAGGAATGTCTGAACCTATCAGGCGGCCACTGCAAAAAAAAAGGGGGGGGGAGAAAAAGTACTGTACAGCAAAATAAAACTGAAGTGAAACCTAGCACAACACATCTTATAAAAGTTTGAATTAATATATAAAGGTGGGGAATACAAATGTCAAAATATTGAAAATTGAAATAAATGTGCCAGTATGCTTTTGTTGATTAAAATCCACTTCAGACTCAAGGAATACAAATACACATCCTCTATACATCTCCCCACAGCTAAGAGAGAGAATACAGGTACATAATAGTGATTTTTTAATCCTGTCACTTTGTCTATCATTTGTATCCTTTTTTGGGCAGGAGTTAAGTGTAAACACATAGTAGGACATATATTTGCACTCCTTGTGTCTGCAGAAGTGAGTCGATCCACAGAAGTTTATGCTGAGATAAATTTGTCAGTCCGTCAAGTATCACATTATTTTGCCCTTTCCCCCTACCCTTTTCTTTTTCCTCTTGAATTTTGCCAGAATGTTGAGACAGATTAGCAAAGCTACTTCTTCAAAAACATTTTATATACCATCTACACTTTTACTCTTTTTTTGTTCATCTAAGCATCATTTGAAAAAGTTATAGGCTTCACAATAACCTTAACAGAGTGTAAAATGTGATTTTACATACAGTACAGTACTTCTAATTCTCAGAGCTACTGACATTTTGAAAAGCTTATTGCTAGGGATGGGCCTTTCATTATATGAAAGACCAAAAACATAAAAAAGGCTCTCTTATGTGTATTTCATGTTCTTTCAGTGTTTGTCAAAAGGCACCCTTTTGGGGGCGTGTGAAAGTTTTGTGTAAACTCTGGTGCCCTTTTGTCAGTTAAACTGCCTGAGATTTTATTTTCCACTTAATAGTGTGTTGCAAGAGCTTTCAACAGCAAACAGAATGTGCAAAGGAATGGGAATCTTGACATTGTTAAAGGACCTAAAACCCAGTAATAAGTGGTCTTTGCTTCAGTTGCTTTGAGAGATCACTTTGTGCTGCTGAGCTCCTTGTGCCCTCCAGCTTGAATTCTTGCCAGCTTTCCTAAACCTTGCATCTTTCCCTTTTTTTTCTTTCTTGGCTTTAGAAGAGAATTTCCCAAACACATATTTCTTTGGATATTTTTTGCTGGCCTGCTTGTGCTAGCATGTCTCCTGGGATTATTTTTTACTCCCATTTTTCTCATGGGGAGTGTTTTCCTTTTTTGATTATTTTTGCTGCTCCCTGCTGGACTAAAAGAAAAGAAATTAAGTGGTGGCAGGGAGAGAAAATGTATCATATTTTAGTAGATTTGGTTGGGGAGCTTTAATTAGATTTTGCTTTTATTTGCTTGCTCTACTTGGTTGGTTTTTGGGAGATGGAGCAGTGTGTGTGGTTTTTATTTTCCTAATTTTTTTCCTCTATGTGGCAATGCTTTGTTTTATTTTTAAAAAACTGGGGGGGGGGGCGGTTGGTTAACTTATTGTGCACTTTATTCAAGGTATATATTTAGGGGTGGGGAAATTTGTTTTTGTAAGTGTGGCAGGACCAAGAGTTAGACTTTGTGATTGTGCTGGTAAGCCAGTGTTCCACTGTGTTGCATATATTGTAGTTGCTGTTGGCCCAGCTTGGGGCATTTTTCTCTTGTTGTTGGTATCTTTGGTGGGGGTCTCTGTGTGTCTGGCAGTCAGAAAAAAGGCAAGGAGCCAGCCAGATACTGTTGTACTGCGCAGGCCGGTGGTACTGAATTCATACTGTTTTTTTATTTTTATTTTTTTAATTTGTGGTTGCTCTGTTTTTTAATTGGTTGGTAGGTAAGGTAATTTTTGTTTTGTGCATATGACGATGATGAATGTGATAATATAAACTAATGCCTACATATGTTGGATGTTGTATTTTTTTCCATGTACTGTTCCTTACTTTTGGAGCAAACTGATGTTCTGTTGCCTTCCCTTTGCTTTTTTTTTTTTATTAGTTTTTAAGTGTTCTTCAGGAGTTTTGGGGTGCTAGAAAACACAAGTGGGAAAATACAAAAACAGAAGCCCCAAAGAGGCTTTCCATTTCAACAAACAAAATTCACCCTCCCGCCCCTATAAAAACTGGAAGTGAAAGACACACATAAAGAATTTACCATACAAAACTCGTAGAAAGCACTTGCAAGCATAATGCTTCATGCTTGGTTCCTAGCATCTCTGGGTTCATCTCATGACACCGATTTTTCAGAAATCCACCCCCAGATTTGAAATAGGTTTTTTAACTGTATGGATTAAAGGTGAGAGTTTAATTGGAGTCAGATCTCATTAGAATTTTTTTTTCATTAGAATTTTAAGTGAATAATACTGTCCTTCCTCGTTGGAACCTCCAAAAGCAAATCAGAAGCAAACAACACTCAGATTTCACTCATTTTTTCTTGAACATTCCAATAGACCTATTTTTCAGGAGTAAATAAAAACTAACTCAGTTGTCAACCTTAACAGAGTTACATATTGTTCTTTATATACAGTTATATATATAAAAGACTGAAATTCCTGGGAAACAAGCTACTATCACAAGCCATCTCCTTGCTTTTCCTCGCCATCTGGCATGGGCTGCACTGTGGCTACTTGGTGTGCTTCCAAATGGAGTTCCTTATCGTCATTATTGAAAGACAGGTAAGGAGCATTTAAAAGACTGGTGCTAGGAGGAGTATTCTAGTCAGTTTAGCATCCATATAATTTTGGAGCAAGTAATGCCACTCCTTAAACATTTCACTTGCCTTGGAAGTGCTACTAGATTTACTGTCAGTTCTGACTTGACGGCGCATAACACATCATTTTAATAGCAAACCCTCTTATCAGATTTTGTGGGTTGCAAATGTTTCTCAGATAATCACTGGAAAGCAGTTATTGGTACTGTATCCTCTTTAGTGATATTAATCAGCATCAGTTTAAGGCTGTTTCATTATGAATTATTTAAGCTACTGATGATTAATAAAGAATGAGCTACTATGACCTGGTCTTCCATATCAATCTGTTGGAGGGTCTTGCTACAGGAACTGAATACCTGGGGCAAAATTCCAATTTATTAAGGTCTCAAAGTTGTGTTCCAGTGCTAGACAGAACTCCTATCAATCTTGATATTTTCCTGCCAAGTATACAAAATACAGATCAATTCTGTGCATGTTTGAGAAGTAAACTTCCAGTAGGTTTAAATAAAAATATTGATAAATGGAAATGTAATTAATTAAATCAATGCAGATAATCTGAAATAGAAACACAATTTTTCTGTATAATAGAGCACAACAACAGTAGTAATACTTGCATGTTGTCAAGTTGATTCCAATTCATGGTGACCCTTTCCAGGGTTTCTAGATATACAATACTCGGAAATTATTCACCTTTTCCCGGTTTGCCCTGGATCGTGCAGCTGGTCCAAGTTTGCACAGGCTGGCTTTTCTGAGAAGCCCACTGTGGAATCAAACTCAACTCAAGCTTTGTAACCAGCTACCCAACTCACCAAGCTATCTTGCCAGCTTAGAATTTAGCACTGTTAAAACTTGAAAGCAAAGCCATTTCAAATGGTGCTTGGTATAAATGTTGGGTTTAAACATAAAAGCATAGTTTGTTTCAGGACGTGAACTCAAGCTTACTCACAAACCTGAGTCAACAAGCTGGTCTGCTATTCATGATAAATTGCAGCATGAGCTGTTGCATCATAAAAACTGAAATAAACTCACCAAGTAATTCCTGACCAGATGGGAGACAAAAGCACATGATCAGCTCATCATAACCCGTGTCTTCTTTTTATGTTACCTAAAAGCTCAAACGCTAGGTGGGTTGTTAACACCAGTTAGAATAAAATGTGGTTTTGTGTCAAATCTGAACTCCTCTTCAAAGCAATTTTTCCTCCTTTCAGGCCATTAGCCTGGTACGAGACAGCCCACTTCTGAGTACCTTAGCATCAATCACCATTTTGCGGCCCATCTTCTATGTGCTTCAACAAACTATCCACTGGATGTTCATGGGATATTCTCTGGTGCCATTTTGCCTCTTCAGTTGGGAAAAGTGGATCAAGGTACAGAAAGTCTTGAGGGCATACCAAGACGATGACTCCCCCCTCCTTACAGAAAAGACATAGCAAGACATCTAATACTAATATTGCATTTTCTTTCACAGGTATACATGTCTATTTATTTTGTAGGGCATATCTTGTTTTTCTCATTATTATTTGCAATGCCTTACATGAGAAAAGTATTTGTGCCACAAAAAGAGAAGTTAAAGAAAGCTGAGTAGCAACCAAAAGGTGAGAAATCCCCTTGATCTTTTTCTACTTAAAGAGAGCAACCTCAGAAAGTAGCCAGCTAAATGATGTTATTTTTCTTCTTTCAGATTGTACCATGTGTGCATTTATTATGGGGATGGTTGAAACATCACCTGCCAAACTTGCTGCCGTCACACCCTTCCAGAGTGACTGGGGGAAGAGAGCACAGGGACGAAGGTCCCAGAATACGGGGAGCAGAGAAACTACTGCAAACTCCTCCACCCCTTTGACAGGTTGCCTTATCTTTCAACTTTTCTCCATGGACACTCCTATCTCTGGAAACTTCAGATGATTGTAAAGCACTAGACGCAGCTGCCATCTGGGAATGGAGCCACCGCCTGACTTTTTCTACTACTTTCTGATTCTGCTAGATAAAATTGGTCCCAGTTGGTTTTTCATTCCTGCTTGAGATGCTTTTTTCCTTACCGGTTATTGCAGCTAAAACTTTTGTCTGCTACAGAAGTTCCCAAACTTCTTGGACCCATGGGCATATTTGGAATTGTGAGAGGGTGTTGTGGGCATTACAGAATTATCATAAGGGATACAGGTATTTACAAAATATTTAATAGAAAGCAAATGTGTGAGGCTGAGCGACCTTGCTTGAGAATCTGATTGCAACAAAGATGAGGGTTCACATGCCTAGAACAATCACTTGAACTTGAACTCAATTTTTATTATAACAGAATGTCATTTACTAAGGTCAACCTCTGTTCCAGGACTCATTTCGGCTAGGTCCAAAAAAAGAGATGTGGTGACACTGTGGGTTAAACCGCAGAAGCCTCTGTGCTGTAGGGTTGGACGCTGTGGGTTAAACCGCAGAAGCCTGTAGGGTCGGAAGACCAGCAGTCTTAAGATCGAATCCACACGACAGAGTGAGCTCCCGTCACTTGTCCCAGCTCTTGCCAACCTAGCAGTTCGAAAGCATGTAAAAATGCGAGTAGATAAATAGGTACCACCTTGGTGGGAAGGTAACGGCGTTCCATGTCTAGTCACGCTGGCCACGTGACCACAGAAACTGTCTTTGGACAATCTATGGCTTGGAAATGGGGATGAGCACTGCGCCCTAGATTCAGACACGACTGGACTAAATGTCAAGGGGAACCTTTACCTAAAAAAAAAAAAAAAAAATCCAAAGGTAGAAAAAACACATGGGAAGAAACCGTTGTACTTTTTTTTTCACCAGCATAGTACTCTGCTCTGTTTAGTGGCAGCACAGTACATGGAATCCCTTAATGTGCTGCTGTCACCAACTGGAACAAAGATGGATACGTGTACAATAAAAGCCCAGCAAACAGAGATGGGCAGCACAGGAGAGGGAGCCTGTCAGTTTGGCAGGGGAGAATTTTATGCAGAGAAGTAAATAATACTGCAGACACTTAATTCCACTCAGGATCTCAGCTTGTAGGCAATTCCACAGTGATCATGGTGTCATATGTTGTTTTGTTTTTTTAAAGATTCATTTTCAAAAGGCTTTCTGCAGCTCTAGTCAGGCTACTTGAAGTCACGAGCCTACTTATACACACACTCCTATATGTAGAGAGAAGCCCATCTCACCTTAAAAATTTTATTTGCCATAAAACAGAACAAAGGAATCTTAAGATTCCACTCCCCCCTCCCAAGTAGGTAAAACCCTACAATATTACTCCAGAATATGGAGCTAAGAAATTGTCCAACTACACAAAATCAGTATTAATAATCTCACACTACTCCCCACATCTCTTCAAACGCTGTGGTGATCTTGGCACAGGTTAAAGCAGCAGAAAGTGGGTAGTTGCTGATAGAGATAGTCTTTTCTGTGTAGTCAACATTTACCTAAGAAGAAAAACACCAATTAGTATTTCAACCAGCGTCCATCCAGCACAATGGATTTACTAATGACGAGAAGCCCGCCCCCCACGGAAACACTATCAGTCAGTGTAGACAGTATAAAGCTACATAAACCTAATTATATACTTTAGTGAAATACAGCTTCCACATCCTAGCTAAATCCTGTATCATTACTGCAAAGAGCCAGAATCCTGCTGATTTTGAAAAAATCCCTTCTCAATGGTCAAAATGCTGCAACCTTGTACCTCAACAAAGACTGGTGGTATTGACATAAACATTCCACTTTACTTCTATAACATTAACTTTCTGTATAATTGCATGTATTTAAGTCAATTCTGACTTACAGTGACACTTTCTAGAGTTTTCTAGATAAAGGATACTCCAAAGTGGTTTACTATTCCCATCTTCTGGGGGCCATGTTGGGACTGTGCAGCTTATCTAAAGCCATACAGACTAACTCCTCTCCCCAGAAGCAGTGGGAAATCCAAACTTTTAGCTCTGCAGCAAGATGTCTAATTTGTTGAGCTACCTTTTGTATAAGATTCTTTAATTCTTAAAAGCCTTCCACAAACACTGAACTGCTCACAACTTATAAGAAGCAGCCCTTACCGAGCCATGAGCAAAAGCTCCCACAACAATAGCTATAGGATCTGCAGTAGGGACCATATCATGTATATCTGTCACAGTAGGACTTGAGAAGGATGTGCCAATCTTCGTGCAGCCCACAGGGAGATGATCAGTCACTGGATTTTTAATTACCTACAAAAGGCAGGAAAGGGTTTAGATTGAAAGTAGAAACAAGAATCATCTTTAGTGAATCACAGTACATATTGGCAGATTACCTTTAGCAATTTCTGAGGCCCATCAGCAGCTCTGACACTGAATTTATGCAGCAACTGAACTAATGAGACAGACACAACAAATGTTAATAACAAATAGAAACACATCTCTAAGGCAGAGGCAATGGCACTAGTCTCATGATCTACTGAATTCCCAACTGTGCAAACCTTGTGAGACATCAAGTGCACCAGCCACCTTATGCATCCAGCTAGGTACTCAGCAAATGGCCATTTTACAGTGCAAGGGAAGCAGTGAAATATGAGTCCAATTTGATAGAGTGCATAGGTTTCAGTGTTTTTGAACAAGCTGGGCCTTTGGTGTCTTAGATGTGTTTGACTTCTATAAGTATCAGATCTCCAATTCCTGCTTTACAGGGAGAGCTAATGGATTCAAAGAAACACGCACAATATGGTAACTGCAAGGCACTCCTTACAGACAGTAATAAGAGTATGTTCGGCTGCACAGTATTTGCTAGTGGAACGAAGGGGTTGGATGTGAAAGCCGTATTGTTCTTTGTATGGTTAGAATTACATTTTAATCATCACTTTGCTACAAATGTTCATTCAGCTCTCTTGAGCTACGTTAGGATTTCATTAATTGATCACAGGTTCAGTAAAACTCAAAATATTGTTTGCCGTTCAGACACGGTATATACACTTTTGGTTCTTACGACTCAGTATACTCTCACTGCTTAACACCCAGTTTCCCCAGGATCCTGGTTACTACAGGAGGGTCCATCCACCCTTGTCTTCAGTTGTCTCGGTGCTCCAGGCAGCCGCACCCCTCCTTAGGTGGCTATATCTCGGCAAACTGCCTAAGCCCCAACAGTTCTCAGCTGTTTAGCCTTACACTCTGCATAAGCCCCTTTGCTAACTAAATTTGGTTCTTTCTTTAGTTTGAAACAGCTCCATTTCCCAGCTATTGGCATTCTGCTTTTCAAAAATTAAGACCATTCACTTTCTCTGTGATATCACAACAGTAAAAAAAACTGGGTGGTCATTAGCAGGCAGAAACACAGGACCCAGGGCTTTCAGCACTTTCGTAGCATCACCACTTTCTCTCATGCTTGTTTTGCTATATGTGCTTGAATGTAAGATGACACCCAAATGCAATCGGGAGAAAAGGCTTCAACATGTGTATCATATAAAAAAATAATGAGGGCAAAGCTACGGCATACTACTGCAAATCTGTACCTACTGCATGAGGTATTACCTACAATGTCAACTATGGGAAAACTGCTGCCACTTTTAGTTTAATGTGCACATAAACATTTCAAAGTGAGGTGCAGCTGTACTAAGTATCACTAAAAAAGCTTATTAACGTAGATATGTTCTACTGGTCTTCTGCTATAAATAATAATATACTGTCAAGTCTGATTTATAGCCCTTTTCAGGGTCTTCTAGGTAGAGAATACTCAGAAATGATTTACAAGTCCCTTCTTCTGGGGACGCCCTGGAACTGTGCAGATTACCCAAGGCCACACAGGCTGGCTCTAATCACAGGAGGTACTGTGGGGAACTGAACTCCCAGACTCTGGTTCTGTGGCCAGATACCTAAACCACTAAGCTCTTCAGCCAGGTACATAACTTCTTAGCCAGGATGTTATATTTTGTGAGATGGGAACAATCCTAGATTTTACTCTTACCCATGAGGCCACAGAAACGATCAAAGGTACGAGGAATTCTTGTCTGAGGGTTCACTTCAATCAGAACGTTCTTTTCTGTATGAATATAAACCTGAAGAAGGCCTGCTCGGTTCAAAGGACTGTCCATGAGCATCAGGAGGCTCTGGGTTGGGAAAGGGGGGGGGGGAGGAGATGCACTTAGTTATTTTTGCATATTTTAAAAGGAATATACTCGTGACAGTTATACTAGTGTCTGTCAGGAGATTCTCAGTAGTGTATCAGAGAAGGACAACACCTGAAAGAAACACTTGTAGGTTCATAAGCAAAACATAAAAGTACGGTAGCAATCAAAGATAGCATCACTCATATTGTTCTGATGACTTTTTCAGAAGAATGGAAGGAATCTCCCAAACAACATTTTTATGAAAGCAAACAAGCCACAGGCTAGACTTGCAGCCTACAACCATCCATGCACCTTTTTTTTAATACATTATAGACACATGGACATACCTGGTGGGCGATGTCAGGTCGAGCTGCTCCTGGGTCCCGGCCACTCCGTAGAAGCAACGATTTATGTTTGTCACAATTCAACAACTCGTATGTTTTCCCAACCTAGAACCATATTTTATTTGTTATCTTCTACACTGCCTTTCCACACTGGTGTATTCAAAAGGAACACAACAGAACAGATCATAAAATATAAAGCTGCTAATGCAAGAGATGGCAGTATATTGCACCAAGTAAAAACAAATGTCAAATTCAAAAAGCTTCAATGAAATTTATAATAGGACAGCAGAGCAGTCTTGTTCTTGTACTCCTCTGCCATACCTGTTTTATGTAATTATGATTCACAAACGTTATGGGGTGTAACGAAACTATATAATTGAAACCCAGTACTAAGCTGCAACTACAGTAACCCCCATTGAATTAGTAGGGATTAGGTGAGTTAACTCCCTAAATTCGATTGATTCAATGGATCTATTCTACCTGGGACTTGATACTGGATTTGAACCACTAATGGATACTGCTGTGCAATATTTTGCCAGGAAAAAAAATCTAAAATAGAACCCAGTAAGATCTACAATAAAACAAACCTATGACGAAGAGCGGGCAGATCCTATCAACTGCCTCGGGCCAACGTCTGGCTGGCCACGCTCCTTCCACTGGACCAAGGATGATGCCTTGGTGATTCCACAAAGGCAACTCCTGGGACCCCCCTTCTCTTCCCTCTCCATTTATTCAGAAAAACGCAGTTCGCGGCGACTAGGACTTGTTCCACAGTCACTGAGGGAATTTCTCAAAGTCAAGGACAGCTTGGTCGACACGCCGGGCAGCCGAATGAGGAGGAGGAGGCGGCCTGATTCCCCACGGCTGCTCTTCCATACAAAACTTTTAAAACTCTGGTTCGTTTGCTTAACGTAGGGCGATCAGGAAAGCCGCGGTGGTGGGAATGTGAAGGGCCACTGGGCATTCCCCGAAGCCCGGTCCCGTCCCACCTCCTCATGGCTGCACGGACGGGGCCAAGCAGAGCTCCCATGCCGGGGGTGTGCAAGCAGGGAACATGCGGAGCTGGAAGGGACCTTATGGGTCATCCCTGAGTCCAGCACCCCTCAAGGAGGCCCGGGACGGGAATCGAACTCCCCACCTCTGGCTCCGCAGCCAGAGATCGAAGCCGCTGAGCTCTCCAGCCCGTCAGGCGCCGCGACGCACGTGCCTAAAGCTCCGCGCGCCCAACCGCTCGGCGCCCCCCCCGGCTGCTCCTTCCCGAACCTTCACGGTCTCCAGCGACGCCCCCTCCAGGATCACCACCAGCCGCCTCCTCCCCGCGCGGTGGGGCCCCGAGCCCCCGCCATCCACGACGGTGCCTCCCTCCGCACTCGGACGCTTCCTCGTTGAAGCTGCCGCCGCCATTTTAGGAACGGGTGGAACACAAACCACTAGTGTATACAATTAATTCCGGGTCAAGATTCAACGTCAATCTATTTCCGGGTCGCTTTTTTCTAAAAAAAACCCACACACAAAATGTTCCGGTACAAGGCTCCCGAAGGAACGCCTTTAAGTTCGGGTTTAAAGTCCACCTAGTGCGGCGACGTTTTAGACCGGACCCACTAGGCGCGAAACGCAGCTCTAAAAGGAGACGAGGGCGCGGCATTTCGGCTTCTTCCGGAGTTCCCTGGCGAACGATAAAGCCTTGTTCTTGCTCTTGGACTTCCGGCGTCCAGCGCTCCGGAAGCACTCCTAATTCCGCCGCGGTTGTGTCCGGGCGCCCTCGTAAAAAAAGGTAAAGGTAAAGGTTCCCCTTGACAATTTTTGTCCAGTCGTGTCCGACTTTAGGGGGCGGCGCTCATCCCGCTCTTCAAGCCATAGAGCCAGCGTTTGTCCAAAGACAATCTTTCCGTGGTCACATGGCCAGTGTGATTTAGACACGGAACGCTGTTTACCTTCCCACCGAGGTGGTCCCTATTTATCTACTCGCATTTGCATGCTTTCGAACCGCTAGGTCGTGCGAGGGGGAAAAAAGTCCTTCCGGGGCGCCTGACTCTGGGAGAAGCATTTCGAAGGCTCCCATTTCCGGTGTCCTTCTCTCTTAGGAGTGGCGGCGTGGTGAGGGGAGAAAGGGACTCGGGGTGAGGCGCCGCGGCTGGTGTTGTTGGGCTGTGCAGTGTTTTAGGGTTGGCACCTGAGGGTGGCGGAGGTTCCTGTGGAGCCCCTTAGCCTGCAACCTGGGAAGCCAACCCCGTTGAATTTGGCGGTGCTGCTTTCCAGGGGAGCCTCGGAGGGGAGTGGTTGAGAGCCCAGGCGAGGAGGTGTCGCAGCGGCCACAGACCCGCTTCGGGGTTTCCAAAAGGCTGGCATTCTAGACTTGGCGATATTCTAGAAGCTGCCTTGGACCTGAGAGAAATGAAGTTTAAGTGTCGTCACTGACCTAACGTTCGGGGCACTTTTCCACTATGAAAGCAGCTTTTAAAGTCTTGTGTCATGCTGCTGCTATGGGTGTGCCTAATTCTTTGGAGTAGGTCCCTTATCCTGATGGGCCTTTGAAAGCCTGTGATGTGTTTGTTTCTAAACAGTGCAGAGAGGGATTGCATTTTTGGAAGAAGAAAAAATGAACCTTTTGTTCTTTCGGTATTTTTATAGATGTTATTTTAAATGTATCCCAGATAAGAAAAAGTAATCTTATACTTTTATTTGAGAAATAAGTGGTAATTATCTTATTCAATTTAGTGTTGATTCTCAACGCTCCCCATGGTACATCCCTTAAAAATGTAAGATTTCTCCCCTTGAGGGGTGTCTCAGAGGGAGGACTTCCCCCATACTTGGATTAATAGCAAAATGTCACATTTATTATCTTTTTTGGGTGGTGTTATGTGCTTATTTGGTAGCAGTTAGCATAGACAGGATTTAAGAGCTTGAGCTGGGAATTTTGCAGCACTGTATTGAATACAGGATTTTAATTTTTCATCTTGCAGACCCGTGTTTGTTTGAAGGTTGCTATGGCTCAGAGCCTGAAAGACTTTGCTGGGCGCCTGCCCACTGGCCCACGTGGAATGGGCACAGCCTTAAAGTTGCTTTTGGGTGCAGGTGCTGCAGCCTATGGAATCCGGGAGTCTGTCTTTACTGGTAAAGTGATTTGTATTTTGAATCTATATTCTAAATTTTTCTTCTCAATGTTGGTTGATAAACACTAATTGGTATCCTTACTTCAACAGTGGAGGGTGGCCAAAGAGCAATATTCTTCAACCGCATTGGTGGAGTTCAGCAGGACACCATTCTTGCTGAAGGACTTCATTTCAGGTATGTAGTTAACAACTGCTTTGCATAGGCAGGATAGAAAAAATTGTATCATCTCCATGCCCATTTTTAAAGAGAACGCCACCTCCACAAATTTCCCATGAAGTCTATTAATTTATTTTGAAATCAATTCTAAATGCTAGGATCCCCCACCTTGCCGCCTTCTTTTTTTTTCCTTTGCAGCCTTTTACTTGGTAAGGAGGAAAGGGTTTGTGTTGCAATGATATACATTTCTTTCTTTTTTAAAAATCATATTTTGGAGACATGCTTATTCTTGAGAAAGTGTGCCCTAAAACTTTAGAGCATGAAGATTTGCTTCTTTAATGAATCAACTAAAGCTTTCTTGCAATAAGTTGTTATAAGTAGAAAGTTTTCTGTATAGGTAGGCAGTAAGGCTTCATTTTTCCCCTGTACCAAGTCATACAGTTTGCTCTACATGTCCATGGCTTTAGGTTTCTTGTATCATAATTTTATAATTGTTTTTACTGATTTATTTTTTTCTTCAGAATTCCTTGGTTCCAGTATCCCATCATTTATGATATTCGAGCTCGGCCCCGTAAGATCTCCTCGCCAACTGGCTCCAAAGGTGAGAGCTTAGAAGTGCACTGGCCTTTGTGTTGTATCTCACCACTTCACCAAATAACAAACATTATTCTCTTTCCCTTCTTTACCTTTACAATAGTTCTGTGATGTTAGGGTGAAAAAGGAGTAATTGGCTTAGCAGGCTTAACATTTTTGTTTACAGAATCAAAATATGCATTTGAGTCACCCATCTTAAGTTCAATGTACTCCCTGCAGTATAGATTTCTACATCCTTCTGTTGTCATTTCCTGAAAGAGCATTTGGTTCTCAAGGATTTTAGAACGCCTTAAGTAGAAGAGTGTGACTAGTTAAAATTTGTGTTATAAGAATTGGAAAAAGAAATAAAACTGACTTCTGAGACACGATTTGTTTGTCTCTTATGTTAGACTTACAGATGGTGAACATCTCCTTGCGTGTTCTGTCACGCCCCAATGCTGCAGAATTGCCCAGCTTATACCAGCGCCTTGGTCTAGACTATGAAGAACGGGTCCTGCCTTCCATTGTTAACGAAGTGCTCAAAAGTGTAGTGGCAAAGTTCAACGCTTCACAGCTCATTACCCAACGAGCTCAGGTCTGTTCCCTTTCTGTATAAACAGATGTAACTGAGTCAATCCACTTGTCCCAGGAAGCTGGGTAAAAAGGGAGGGAGCCATTCAGTTGTAAATAAACAAATGAATATATCCTATAAACCTTGCATCCTATTAGAAGTTTTGTAGTTGTGTACCTTTGAAACTCAAGGAATTCTCCAGGGGATTGACAGGATGGCTAGCAGTTCTTGAAACTCATTTGTAGCATGCATCCAGATTGCCAGTTGGATTTGGACCTCCCTGGAAATGCTCATTGGAATAGATACTGAACAAAAGCTTTGAAATGATCACTTTAGGTCTCTCTACTTATCCGGCGGGAGCTGACAGAGCGAGCTAAGGATTTTAGCCTTATTCTAGATGACGTTGCCATCACGGAACTGAGCTTCAGTCGGGAGTACACAGCTGCAGTTGAGGCCAAGCAAGTGGGTGAGTTGGAACTCAGCTTCAGGATACGGGGGACCTTTGTAGTTCACTCTTCTAAGAAATATCAAAGTGCTGGTGATTTTTCACCCAAGTAATGGTAAAATTGAGGGACTAAGGAAGTGTTTAGTTATTTTTTTAAAAAAGCTGTAGTAAGAAATATCAAAGTGCTGGTGATTTTTCACCCAAGTAATGGTAAAATTGAGGGACTAAGGAAGTGTTTAGTTATTTTTTAAAAAAAGCTGTAGCTATTTGTGAGGGTTCGCTGGTGTGGGCTGTTGCTATTTTAACATGCTTTGTTTTCACACAGGAGTATGTCTCAGAAAGATATTGCACCATAATTGGTTCAGTTTGCAGATGGGATCTGCTATGATGAAAAACATCTCTATAGTGTTTTTTTTTTTAAAAAAAAAACCCTGAACATAGGAAGCATACAATTTTGCAACCTTAGAGAGAGCCAGGACAATTTTCCGTGCCCTTCCTAGAGTTGGTTTCTAGGATACTGTTATACTACGTATAAATAGGTGAAGGAGCTACCTCTGAGCTTAGTAGCAACTATGTCATTAGGTAAATCACATGCTTTGCACATGGTCCAAGGTTCAATTCTGGTATCTCCTGGTGGGCCTAGGAAGGCCCCAGTCTAAGGCCCCAGAGAGTCACGCCTAGATAGTGTTGACAGTACTGAGCAGGATGGATCAAGGGTCTGTCTCAGAACAGAGCAGCTTCATATATTCTTATATTCAAGTAAATGTGTGGGCAAAAATTGTAAATCTTTAGAGAACCAAGAACACTTCATTCCCAAATGCACAGTTTCTTTTTGCTTTCTTTCTGTAGCCCAGCAAGAGGCACAGCGAGCTCAGTTCCTAGTGGAGAAGGCTAAGCAAGAGCAGAGGCAGAAGATTGTTCAAGCAGAGGGAGAAGCCACCGCTGCCCAGATGATATCCTTGCTTTACTGTAGTGAGAGACAGTCCCCCAGAACTGCCAGATGTTTGAGGTTGGACTTCCTAAGGAGGAGAGATCGCCATGTCAACATGGGTTTCTTGCTGCTGGGAGATGTTGATGGCCGTTAGGAAAGGGGGTGTTTGGAGGTAGCTGTGCATTCCAGGTGTAGCTTGGTAGACTGCAAGCAGTGAGCCTGATGAAGTTTGTATAGTTGTTAGAAGGAGAGTAGAGGTTCTTCCACTGAGAATGCTTTCTGCTTTCATTCTCCTATCCAAAAACTGCAAAGTTTTGCTGAGCAGATGAACGACTAGGAGTGGAAGTAACAATAATTTACATGAATCAGTAAGATACATATGGTTACAAGGTGATATACAGTGGTGCCTCGCTTAACGAGTGCCTCGTTTAGCGATGAATTCGCATAACGATGGGTGTTTTAGAAAATAATATGCACCGTTTAACAATGTATCCTATGGGCGATTTTCGCTTAGCGAAGTTTGGGATTGTTTCCTATGGGGGAGAAAAAAAATTCAAAAACAATTAATGAAAAGTCAGCAACTGTTTTAAATGCTTGGGTTCATTAGAAGACCTTCTAAATCGTGTGCAAACTAAGTTTGGCTTTTTTCTGAGTCTTCGTTGATTTTTTGTGAATTTATTCCTCCCCCATAGGAAACAATGGAGCTGTCAACTTTTGACAGCTGTCAAAAGTTGGTGGGGGAAAAATAAATTCAGCAAAAATTAACGAAAAGTCAGATCAAAGCCAAATTAAGTTTGCACCCGTTTTAGAAGGTGCAGAAACTATTCCAAGCATTTAAAACCGTTTTTGACCCTTTTATGACACACTTAAATTTGCAAAAATTGACTTCGCTAGACCATTGAAATGCATTGAATAGGCTTCCAATGGAGGAAACATTGTATCGCTTAATGATGTTTCCTATGGGTTTTTTCGCTTAAGGACGGCAATCCGTTCGTATTGGAACGGATTAACCGGTTTTCAATGCATTCCTATGGGAAATGGCGTTTCGCGTCACGATGTTTTCACATAGCGATTTTTTTTTGGAACGAATTAACATTGTTAAGCGAGCCACCTCTGTAACTTAAAGCAAGGTGCTTTGTTTCCAAGAAGGAGATAAAGTGTAGAAGGTGAGGGTTAAATTCCTAAACTCTGGAAAATGTTGTCTTAACTCATCTCTCACATTGGTGAAGCCCTCAGCAAGAATCCAGGTTATATCAAGCTACGCAAGATCCGTGCTGCCCAGAACATTTCTAAGACGGTGAGTTTTGAGACTTGTGAAAGAGTACAGTATTTGATGCATACATGGATGTGCTTATCCTGCCCTCAAAAGTTACTCCTTCACTGGACCAGGCCAAGTGATGAATCCTAAGGCGAATATGATAATGCTTCTCCTGATGTCTCTACACATCTCTTGTCTCTTTTTATTTATGTTAATCTTTGCATCTTAACAGGGACCTGGAAGCCAATGGCTCTTGTTGTAAGGAGAGACTCAGATTATGTTCATTGTGCCATCTCTCAGGCATGGCCACTCATAGACTATAGTGTGCCACTGGCCAGGGAAAGGCTCACAGCAAAATTAGACAGGTGGAGAAGCAGAGTGAACTCAAGAGATTTCAAGACTGATGGACCTGGATTGAAAGAAGTGACTTTGCAGAGAGCTATAATTCTATTTTGAGTAAAAACAAGAAGTCTAGATTGTAATTTAATATTTAGTGGCCAAAATCCTGTTCCGTAGCTATGCCTGCATAACTTGAAGTTGCCCAAACTGTTTCAAAATTTATATGAAGGCAGAAGTCTTGTCCAGAAAACAGTTCTGAAGGCAGAATGGCACAGTTACTGAATGGTCTATTGTGCAATCAGATCTGCAGACTGCCTGGAGTGTAATGCCTCATTTACACAGGAATAACTTTATAAGTCCAACAGAGTTTCAGCTACAGTATCAAAAACATGCTGCCACTCATTTTCTAATTTCTGGGATGTAATAAAACTGTGTTTGTAAACAACGCTCTCTAGACTCTTTGGAACATCACAGAATATATTTGAAGATTAATTCTTCATGAGTTTATTTATAGCTGTTCTTCATCTCTTTCTCATTTTTAAGCATGCTTGGCAGCCGTGAAGTTTTTTTCTTCAGTTCGGCAGTGGGTTCTAATTAAACAATAGTTGATTCCCTAACTATCATGTTGATGGAAACTTGTATGTTGCTACACTTCTTCGTAGTTCACTGTACTGTTAAGATTGTTTTGAATTCCCTTCTTGTCCTCTACAGATTGCTTCATCTCAGAACCGTGTGTATCTTACAGCTGATAACTTAGTGCTGAATCTACAAGATGAAGCTTTTACTAGGTGAGGTGATTTGCAGAGATGATGATGATTAATTAATTAATTGTTAATTATTAATTGTCATTATTTTGTTTTGCAATGGAGCTTACAAGGGAGGGAGTTGTCTGTCATATGTCAAAGATGGATGTGAGAGATGCCTGGATGAAAATCTAAATTTGACTTAGGTGCTTTGAGTTTTGGCAAGGAAGGAGCAGTGTAAGAAATGTTCTTTTTGAGTGTTGCATGAACATATACATTTTAATCCTTCAAGACTCCCCCAATTCCTAGCCATCTTTGGGGCAGGTGTGTGTGTGTTATATCTGGAAAATTGCTGCTGCTAATCCCTATTAGGAGAGGAAATTTTAACAACAAAATACAGCTTCAATTGGTAGTGTCATCAGGCTTATCTAGTGTAATTTTATGCTACTGGGTTTCAGCCACTTATGTTATTTCCAGATATATAACATTCTCTAGATTTTTCTAATAAATATTTTCCTCTTTCCTATTCTTTTTCTTTTTGTTTTTCTCTGGATCCAGAGGAAGGTAAGATGTATTAATCTAATTATTTCAAGCTTTTGGGAGGTGGCCGTACAACTTATAGCTGTAGCCTGTACTTGAGTATAGACTTCGGTAATTGGCTGAAATGACATCCTGATTTATGGGACAGCATATGTTTAATAGTCACTTGTAACTATTTCTAACACTCTGTATATAGCATATACTGCACTTTAAAAAGGGGGTTTCAGATGGGAAAGAAAAGGATGACTACCTTTTCTGAAGTGACATCTGATGCATTATACATAAACTGTCTAAAAACACTGGCTATATTTTACCACACACGTAAGGACAATCACTCAAGCATTTATTTTTTTGCTGTTTGTTCGTCGGCTGTCCTGCAGCCAGATATGAAGTGGGTTGTTCACTCAAACCACAGCCAAGCAAGTGGTGGACAGCCCACAAAACAGCAAAGGTTGCTTTTATGTGCCTTGTGATTCCAACAGGATTCTGCTGGTTGTGTACTTTTTTCTTCTTAAAAGTCCATGCTTTAATCATACATAGACTTAATCAGTTTAGCTAGTTATCTAAAGAAATTCTAAATTATAGGTTTAAGCTTTAGCATGACAAAAGAAGAATTATTGTAGAATACTTAGAGGTTGGAATATTGGTGGTGTGAAGGGAGGGCTGGTGAAAGCGACTTGCTGGAGGTTGGCTTCTGGTGAAGTTCTGAGCAATCCCCGTAGAAATGGGTAATTGGTGGATTTTTCAGTCATCAATATGAATTTAATTAGAAAGAAGCAGTATAGAAATAAAAGTTCAGAGTAATTTGTGGCGTGTCTGTGCAGTTTTATGTGGAAACCTGTGTGCCCAACTGTGTTTTATTTGTTCCAGTTAGGGTGTAGCCAACAGACTATGGATTTGCTAAGAGTGATTGGGACAGATGCAAGCCATTTTCCCTAGGGACCTTTTTTCCAGTACTTCCTCTCTCGATTTCATAATTCCATCTATGGTGGAAATGGTTTGTGGGTTCCACGGATTTGCACATTTCATGCCACATTTCTCCCTGTGGGAGGGATCTTGTGCAGATAAATAGTGAGTAGAGGGAGATCTCCCACCATTTTTCTTTCACTGAACTAAGCAATTTCCACCAACTGCTTTCAGTTAAAACATGCCAAAATGAGAGAGTATTCCATGTCCCCATACAGTAATCTGGTTTGGTTCTGCAGCATGCGTCTGTTAGTCAGCCCATCAGTATATACTGTAGATGAAATGCATTTCTACCACTGATTTGACCAGTTAGTTCTATGAAGGCTATGATTCCTTGTGTGCATGTTTCTTACAATCCTTTTCATCTTTGTTCTTCTTCCAGTGACAGCCTCCTGCTTAAGCAGGTGAAAAAATGAAGTAGTCATCGCTTCCTAAAACCATCCAGACACCTGGTCATGAGAGTTATGGACAGCCTTGGTAGTGCCCTGCACATATCTTCTGCCCATAAATGTTCTCCTTGGCCTGAGCCTTCCTTTCAGTTGGCTTCTTCACTTGCATCAACTTCCTTGCCCACTCATAAGAAGCTCTTTCTGACTGATGGGTGCTCTCTTGGGTGCTCATCTTATCCCTCTCCACCTTAAGAATGGGGCCCAAGGTAAACAGCAGAAAGGGTGCATGGTGTTGTCTTCCGGGTGAGGGGATCGGTTTCATCTAGATCAGATTGTTGCTTTCCTCTGCCAGTTCGGTCTGAGTGGTGTCTTGCACATCATGCAAGGAGTCTCCGACTTCAGTGGGTTTCTTGCTGTCCCCCCAACTGAGCACCTCATCTCAGGAATGGATGGATGGGTCATGGGGCCTCTGCAAGTGCTGTAATCTCCGTTTATGTACTTTCTATCACCTTGTAATTTGCATCTTTTTAAAAAATAAAATCAGGTCCCAAATTCCGCCCTGCCTTTGGGTCAAACTAAACAATGGCTACTACTCTCTTCCTTTTTGCGGTGTGTAACTGCTATGTAGGCAAGAGGTACACTGCTGAGTCCTGGCAATCTTCAGCTGGAATGTAAATGTGTTTGGTTCTAGAGGAGTGTTGGTTTACTTCTCACTAGAGTGGACTTCTTTCCACCTGTACTTCATTTAGACCTTTTGAACACAAGCCTTCTCTCTGTTCATGTACATCATTTTAAAAATCACCTCCACTGCTCCGCAAGAAAGATAGGACCTTGCAACAGGTCTGTAACTTAAGGTCCATCGCACTGAACAAAGCCAACAAACTAACTTTGGTTGCCCACCAAAGATCTAAGATACCTGAGCTTTTTCTGCCCAATATGTCTTTTTAAAAGAGGATGGCCTGGGTAGCTGTGTTTGGTTGGAAAAAAAACTGGCTTGGTCTCTCCACCTTTCAAGCAAGGGAATGTGCTCTGATGGCATGTTTTGCTGACAAGGTTGAGTACATTTTTCAGGATTAAACATAGTGAGATAAACTATATCTTTGCATTTAGGATAAGCTGCCTTGGTGAAAATTATATCAGTTGGAGGAGGGTGCTGATTTTAAATGACAGCATAGTGGCCATGAGGTCTTTTTACTGTCCTTGTGAAAAAGTCCATTTTCTGGTGCTGATAATTGTATTGGGGAAGCATTCGTCATTGTTACCATATTCTGGCTTCAAACAATGGATATTTCTCAGGTCCAGTGCTCAAGAAGAATGGGCTAAATTTCCTCTCCACTTATCTTCATCTGGAATTCAGATTGTTCAGATGCAAAAGAACACAATTTTTCCCCTTCCAATTGAGTTTTGTAAAAAATAATAATAAAAGCAAGGGTGAGGTAAGCGTAACGTACTCTAAAAAGAAAAATACAGCTGTATATACTGAAGTAGGTGAGGCATGGAATGAACTCTAGCAAAAACTAAGGAAATGCAGGGGCAAGGCTTTGGAAAAATCAGCCTTAAGGCTTTCTCAGCCATAACTGGAGTAGATCATTGTGCGCGATGGGCAGAGCCATAGTAGCTCTATAATCGCAGCAGTCACACTGTTGACTGTGTCTATCTGGCGTTTTAACTGCACAACTGTGTCTATCTGCCGTTTTAACTGCCGCCTAGAGTGGTCCTGACCCAACCAGATAGGCGGGATATAAATAAAATAAATAATAATAATAAATAATGATGTGTTCTTTCAGTGGTTGATAAAAGTTTTGCTAGTTTTTTCATTGAGTAGGTAGGGAACCTCTGGGTCTCCTAGTGTTGGACAACACGTCCTCTTATTCCTGTATGTTGATCGTGTCGGCTAGAACTGGGAGTACAGCAACATTGGAAATGTCTAAGAGATTTCCCACTGTTATTGCTGACACAGAGTGGTTAGAGTTGGGGGTCACTCGTAGACCAACAACCCAGTTGCCCAATGGTTTGCTTATCTGATCTCCTAGACATACCAGTCTTCAAACAGTTGTTCTGGTTTCTGGTTAATTTCTGTGCCATCTTGAAAACACAGGTTTTAATTTTATGTAAAGCCGTGGTTCCAAGCCTTGGGTCTGCAGGTGTTACTGGACTGCAATTCCCAGAAATCCTGGCTAGCACTGCTAGTCGTGAAGGTTTATGGGAGTTTTAGGCCAAGAACATTGGGTGACCCAAGGTTGGGAAGCAGTGCTCTAAATGGCTTGAATTGGGATGGTCTTAATTCACTAGGAGCAGTGCTCTAAATGGCTTGAATTGGGATGATTAAAGGAGCTTTTCCCACAATGGAATACACCCAAATATTAGAATTCATCCCTAGAAGCCTTTTGGTTTTCTCTGCCTCCATAAGGCAAGGGCTGGATTATTATAACAGCTTCCACTAGTGTTTAACTTTAGAATTATGGTTCCCAAGCTGGTCAGCCTGCTGCCAATTTGGAAGGGATGATGATGATGATGATGATGATGATGATGATGATGATGATGATGATGATGATTATTATTATTCCTTCATTTTTAATACATTTTAAATACTGGTTTGTTTCTCTTACTGCCACTGCCTTACACAGTTTTAAAGTACCTGGCTTCATTTTATATTCCTTAGCCTGGCTGAGAGATTGCAACCCAAGTAAATATTGGTCACACTGGCTTGCTGCATGATTAATACCATTGTATTCCCTGGCTGAGAGATTGCAACCCAAGTAAATGTTGGTCACTCCTGCTTGCTGCATGATTAATACCGTTATACTGTATTTGAAACATTGCAATATGAAGGTGTGACACAAGAGGGCAGTGCTGTGTCAGGAAACGGCAAGACCTCATGGTGGTTGGGGGAGGGGATTGCTAGGTCCCATTCTCAAATACAGGGGTAGATGATGAATCAATGGGGAGCTCACCCAATCTTTCAGAGCTCCCTCAAAAGCTTTTATACGACTGCCATGCTACTATAACTCAGTAAAGCTAGGAATAGACCTGGAAGGAGAGTCTCAGAGAAGAAAGATCTCACTTAAAGCTTTTTCTGCACAGCTGGGCATACAGAATGGAATCTTGTACCAGTGTGGTTCTCAAGAATTATTTCTGGTCCTGCACTTGACTTTGTATGTTTTCCATGGGCTGGATCACATGGAAAAAAATTATATTTTGGGTTACATAGGGGACGGAGCCAAAGGCAGCTAGGCCTTCTCCTCCAGATTGCTTTTTGCTTTGCAGATCCTAGCAGATTCTAATCAAGATATTGCCAAAAAGAAAAAAGAAAACATAAGAAAAATAAACGTCTTTTCAGAAATAGTAAGAGGCAAGAGTAGTTCATCATTGAATATCACTGTTGTCTCTTCTGGTTTTGTACAATGTCCTATTGAGCTCACGACTGAAGCACGTCACACTATCTGGTATTGTTGGGCATGTTGAGTGTATGCATATATTTCAGTGCTAACTAGCCCCGCACATTTTTTTTTCTCTGTGGCAAAAAGGTGTGGGGTTCTGTTCTATTTTTTTCCTTTTCAAAAATCAGAATCGAAGTTTAGGAACGCTGGAAATGCATCCTTTCGAATGTCCTGCCCACAGCAAACTGCTTCCCAGTAAAACTCTGCCAGTGGCTGTGGATCACTCCCAGGTGCCCTGCAGCCTTGCCCAGTGAGCATCCCCACCCGGGGCCCTCCCATATCTCACTTTGAAAATCCACTTGACCGTTAATATTGGTATCATCTTGTCTCCAAATCAAATGAACATCTGGTTTATTTACAAAGTAAAGAAAAGCAATACACTAGATTAGACAAATCATCCACTATATACAGAGCATGTGGGAGTATTTAGTGGGTATGTAGGAGTTAGCATCTTGCTGGCGATCCCTTCAGCCCCAGACATTGACAAAAAGTGCTCAAGAGAAGTCTTGTTTTGAGCAGTCAGGTGAAGTTTCAAACAAGGAGCGTAAAGAAATTAAACCAGAAAGAAAGCGAAGCTACACAACCAGCATTTAATCAAAGTCGTTGTATCCAGTTCCCTGACCTGGGAGGGCCTCATAGTTACAATGGCCAAAATGAACAGGAGTGGCAATGGGGGTGGGGGAGGTGAGCACATTAGTGGTCTGTGTGTGTTTCTAGCTCTTCCGAACTTACTTTTAATGGTCACGTGTGGAAAAGTAGGCTGGCCAAATGGATGTACTGGTAGATATAGTGGCCCACAGTTCAGTACCACAGTTCCCACGTGTGCTTATGTGAGACTCGCCCCGAACAATCAGACTGCCCACAGACAACTAAGAGTAATATGGGCGAGTCATAAAAAGGAGAGAGCGAGCCATTTTCTTCGCTGGAAGCAGAAGATGCCGTCTGCGTTTTCCACCTCAAGCAGCAAAATGTCTTGGGCTGGCCCTCCACAGTTTCCAGCGAACCTCTGGGGAAGTTCCTAGCAGGGAGCAAATTATGTAACCTCTGCCCTGAACCAAGCCAGTCGGGCAAGCCTTGCTGAAAGCAGCATGCTGTTATTTTTTCTTCAGGGATCCCTTTGGCTTCTTCTCCTTTCCCAAAAGCCCCTGTTTCTGCCTCTTCTCCTCTTTCTTGCCTTTGGCATTCTCTAAGTTTTCATAGAGGGTTGGTTCCTCCTTCTGCCTGCATAGAGAAAAGGAAGAGAGAAGGATGAGCTAAGACAAGCTGAAGCTGGACCAGTGAAGGATGCTAGGCAGTGTGAAGATCAGGGAGGCTCTGATGTAACCATGGCATGCTCTTAACTGAAGGAGGAGCTGCATGGTAGCTCACTCGTCCTCTTTCCACCCCTCCCACCACCACCACCCAGCTGTTCCCTTCTAGTTCGAGGTCTTCTGTCACTGCTCTGCAGACCCACCTGCCCTGCATGTTGTGCTTTATTTCTGGTTTGCAGTAGTATCCGTTGAAAATCGCCCCATTTGTGGCCATGACGCTTCTGCTTGCACAGTGGGGTAGTGAAGGCAACAGCAAATAAAAACTGTGTGCATCATATATAATGCACACAGTTATTATTTGATGTTGATTGGTGATTTGATGATAACGATGATTTCCCATCATTATACAGATGGGGGAAAAACAAGATGCTGGCCAAAGTGTTCTGTCTCCACTAGGCAGGCCAGTATGTAGAAACTGAGTACCGACACCACAGATTATGAGCTTAGGGTAAAACTAATTTGCTTCAAACTAAGAAATGAAGAAAGGACTAATGCATGCATTGGGTGGGAAAGGGAGAGGGAGAATGCAAGAGTCCAAGTAGGCTCATCCACATAACCTGGACCTATGGGAGAGACTACACATTGAGTGCCATCTTGGCAGGTTCTTGGGTCAAACAATATTAGAGCAGAATATACAGAGCTGGAAGTGACCTTGGAGGCCATCTAGTTCATGGCCTTGCTCAGTGCAAAAACTGCAATGCAGAAAGCAACTGCAGCATCTTTCTAGAGAAAAAGAGGGGACTATCCCTGACATATAGATTTACCTTGCATCTTAGCACTAAAGTTTTGGAAGCACTTGGAAATCTGTTGTAAAACTGCTCCAGGATGAACCTGTCTTAAGCTCTAATACGCTAACCCAAAGGACCAGCCATGGTCTCTGCCTTCTCCTCCTCCCCAATCTTGTCCACACTAACCGGTGCTGGAAATGACTGCAGATGTGGATTTTGTCTGTGTTTCAAAGCATGCCCCAGGACAGAACACAGCTTGTATGTGGAGGATCCTGGTCGTGATTTTACACACATCTTCGCCACGAGACAGCTACAACTAGGAGAGCTACTGCCAGATAACTTGCAGCCACTACATTCTTACTTGGAGGATTTCCGTGACACCTTTGCGTGGGAAATCTTCTGTGCAGGTGGGTAGGTAATATTCCCATATTCACACTCATTGGGTCTTCCTTTCTGAGACTGCAGGAGAAAAAGAGATTTGTGGAGGAAGACACGGTGGTGCCACACTGCTGTACACACCCATGGATACATAGAGAGGACGCATGTTACACTCCTTCGTGAAAGTAGGCACTAGAACCTGGATGTGAATCTCCAGCAGCACCGCTGGAGGTTGAAGGTGACCCGGTACTCTCCCTTTCCTGGCACTGCACAGAGTGGTCAGGCCATTTTTAGCTCCTCTTAAGGAGAACCTGCTTATTCCTCTCCTAAGGCCGTAGAAGTCATTATGTCTTTTCCCACTCCAGATGCAGCAATTCTAAATAGTGTTGCTCTGTAGCATCCAAACCAGTCACCCAGGTTCTTCAGCCAAGATGTTCTTCTCCTTTCTGCAATTCTTTTTGCATTTATTTTCACCTTGAATGATCAGCTGTAACAATCTGTACTTTTTATTTCCCGTTCCCCCTTTCTCCTGACTGCAGTATTGTAGCGTTCTGCTTTTTGCCTGTTTTCTCTTTTCTGAGAAAATGTGAATGATGCTGAACAACTGGGTATCAACTGGATACTTGTTTCTGCCCCGTACCTGCATAACATCCAGCTTTTTCTTCGTGGTCTCAATAAACTGGCAGATAGCCATGTAGATGAACTTGTACTGAGCTTCAGTCTGCACCATTCCTGAGCGCTGGGACCGAACCATCTGAATAACCTTTGGGATATCTATATCACAGTCCAGCCCTGGGAGAGAAAGAGGAAATAAACTGTGAAAAAGGAACAATTAAACTTTTAACATCCTTGGGTCACCCAGGTGTTCTTGGACTGCAACTCCCAGAAACCCCAGCCATGAAGTCTTCTGGGTATTACAGTCCAAGAATACCTGGGTGACCCTAGGTTGGAATCACTAGCTACATGTTTGCAAAGAAGTAAGCCTTTGCACTGAACAAAAATGGGAATACTGTACATCCCAGAAGATAAAGGGTGGGAGGAAGACTTTCTGGACCTTTTTCCTAATCTAAACGGTGCCTTTCTCAAGCCTTCTGCCCTAAGTCATTCCCTCCTCCCCCTGCAGAGAACTTTGTTACGGATCTTCCATGTTACATAGTTTTTTGCTATCAAGCGGCTAGCAAATTAAAAAATGAATACTCCAAAGTTGGGAAGATTACACTTTTCCTGTTAGTTGGAGGGGGCAGAGGAACAATTTGCCATTTGAATTTGGAGAGAGCAAAGGCCCAGCTATATTTTCGATGGAACATGTTATTACAGCTGAAATCACATTGGTCTTTGAGACACCATTGCAGGCAGCCCTCCTTGTCTGAAAACTCATGCTTGCTAACAAAGTCTGTGTTTAGGCCCAGAAGCACCTTTGCAAGGAAAAGCAACCTCATTTGCAAGTCATACAATGTGCGAAGAGCTTCAGCACTTAAGAATTCTCCTCTTTTTGTGGTGCGTTCTCTGCACTGCATAGCCATATCAGGAATGGGACAGCCTGTGTATCAGGAGCTGTTTCAGGAGATCAGACACAATGTTCAGCGGATGCCTGCTCTAGATGCCCCTTTGCCTTGCCTGTGTATTTGTCAATAGAACACATGCTATAAAGACACCTTAGGTCCTCCGTACAGTCTTATCCAAAGGATGTTACCCTCTGCAGTATTGCCCTTAGAAATCGGAACCTTAAATGAAGAGTGACAGGTACAACAATACCAGCATCCCACACTTCCTCCTAAGGGTAGACGTTCATCAAGAACTGTCCCATTCATCATGTTCTGTTCCTACCCACTTGTTTATATTCCATATTAAGTTCCCCCGTGAGCCATCTCAAATGGCTTAAGTCTTTTATGGCATCCTATCCCAGTTGATAAGCAGTGGGAATGAGCGTGGCTTGTAACTCCTTCATCCTCTGGCTTGTTCCTACCACCACCACTACTAGCAATCCTTGGACCCACAGAGTATTCACTCTCTCTTCAGCATCTGGATTTCTGCTGTTTATCCTCATGTTGGTGTCATGTAACACTACCCAAGCTCCAATGATGGGTCAAGAAAACCCCTCAATGCCAAGTTTCCCTGAGGGAATGATGAAGCTACTGGAGGGGAAGCCCCATCCTCGAGTCCTTGTCCATGAAAGGGTCAATAGACACTTTGCCTAGGAGTGAATCAACTTCTTGCCTCTTCATTGCTGCCTTTGCTGGAGAATATTTGGCTGTTCTGGCCCTCAACCTGCATGGCTGCTGTGTGAGGTCTCTAAAGCAGGGCCAAGGAGAAGGAGGAACCAAGGCAGGGGCCTCTACCCATGAATGCAGCACAAAAACCTCACCTTTTGTTGGCCAAGGAGAAGGAGGAACCAAGGCAGGGCCCTCTACCCATGAATGCAGCACAAAAACAGCCTCACCTTTTGTGGAAACCATATCCACAATCATATCGATGACAATGATGGTCCCAGTGCGACCAATCCCAGCACTGCAAAGAGAGGCACAGATGGCGATGAGGGGGCATGACCGTGCATTCCACACCATGAGTAGATTAGAACCACCGTTTTGGATTATACAAAGTGTTGCTAGCCTAAGACTGTGTTTCAGCAGCAGCAGCCACCAACTAGGGTGCAACTACACTGGAAAGCCAAATTAGAGCTCTTCAGTTTTTCTGCAATTTGATTGGCACCCTTTGTTGTGTTTGAAATCACAGTCAGTGGCTAATAACTGTTTGGAGACCCACTGCTCCCCATGAATCTGTGTGATCCATTTTTGGAATGAGGTGATCAAGCATCCATCATTGCTTCTTACGGGAATGAATTCTAAGCACTCTTTACCTCTTGGACTGTCCACCCCTCAGCTCTCTTGGCTACATATTGATTTAAGAGTGTTCTCCTGGGCTGAGACTGCAGAGTCACCACCCAAACATCTGCAGTACTGGGAGGAATAGACCTCGTTTTCCCCTAGATAAAGTATGCCACTTGACAAATGTTAATTGGCAGTGAAATGGGCTACCATCCACGAAAGCTTATGCTATAGTAAATTTGCTGCTCTTTGATTCAAAGGATTCTGTTGTTTTTGCTACAGATTTTGTCTACCTTAGAGCAACTACAGGATAGAGTGTGATAAGCACTCAGACCATGGGGCCTATTTATACAAGCCAATATGAACAGACAGGATGCACAAGCTCAAGGCTTGCTTCTCAGCCTCGGTATCAGCCCAGATACTCTAAGAGTAGGGGTAGGCAACATGTAAGCAGACATTTGTGGGACTCAAGACCACCCCAGGGGGCTCCCTTTTTTTTAAAAAAAATCCTTTAAATTTGCTTTTTGAAATCTCTATTTTCACTCCCAGAAACACCCTGGAATTGTCTTTTAATGGTTACAAGGTAGGGACTCAGTTTCATGCTTTCCAGCCATGAGAAGCCAAAATTGCCCCGTATTATTCATTCTGAAAAGGGCGGAGTAGGCAAAAGCACCTGGCATGCCCCACCCCTAATCTGGGGTGGGAGCCATGGCAGCAGTGTGGAGGCATGGTCTCCGTAAGGGGTGTGTGTGAGAGAGTGAGCACCATGCAGCTGTTTAAGGAGGTGAAAATACTGAATGTTGAGGTTCTCCAGGCACGTTCAGTTTCATCCTGCTGTTTCAAGAGCTAACTATGAAGCCAGCTAAAATCACCAGCATGCTACTGATTGACACATAGGGCAGACATGGGTAACCTTGTTTTTATTTTTTCAGGTGTTGTTGGACGTCAACTCCCATCAAACCCTTAGTACTAGATAATACCAGTTAGGGACTTCCAGCCCAGCCACAGCTGGAGGGCCACAGTGGCCCAGTGAGATTTCCAAGGTTATCTCATAATTTCATCTGTTCCCTGTCCAACACCATGGATTTGTGGGCAAACCCTCAGCACGAGGGCCAGCTCACTTACCTGCAGTGCACTATGATCGGTCCAGCCCCAGGGACGCTCTCCTGCTTCTGATTGACTTGGTCAAGGAAGCTGAGGACTCCTCCGGGCTCACTGGGCACTCCATGGTCTGGCCAGCTCAGGTACTGGTAATGCCAAATGTCCCTCACAGCCTCGCTCTAGCCGGGGGGCAGCAAGAAGACAACAAGAAAAATAAAAAAACACTTCCTCAAAGAGTCAAGTCTGCTCCTCTTCCTTTTGTGCCGCCATCTTTGCCTGTTTCCAAGAGGCTTTAGCCCAGTGGGTCCCAATCTTGGGTCCCAGATGTTCTTGGACTAACAGGATTTCTGGGAGCTGCAGTCTGATAACACCTGCAGGCCCAAGGTTGGGATCCATTGCTTTAGACCCAGGACTGGCCAGGATTTCTGGGAGCTGCAGTCTGGTAACACCTGCAGGCCCAAGGTTGGGAGCCACTGCTTTAGACCCAGGGGGAGGTTCTCCTGTGCAAATCATACTGAGATTACAATGGCACAAGAATGGACTTGCATGTCCCCACACAGCTCCTGTCACTTCACAGAGGAGAACTTTCCTAAGTTCATTGGCCTCAGAAGAGGCACCATTGGGGATTTCTGCCTCAGGCACCGACACATTTTGGGTCATCCCTATCTGCCCTGGGTCTGTTTAGACCAGGGATTTTAAACTCAATTTACCTGGGGGCCGCTAGAGGCAAGAGCCCGAGGAAGCCGCCCAGGAGTTTCCTTAGCCGACAGACAGGTGGGCTGGCTGGCAGGCTGCAGTTCCGGATGGAGGGTGCAAGAGGTGCTGTCTTGGGAGAGAGCCGGCGAGCGAGGCAAGGCTTTTTTTTTACTCTTGACAGCAGAGGATGTGTGGGCGCTTTGGGGGGGCAGGCAAGGCGAGGGCCACAAACTATCATCTGGGGGGCTGCAAATGGCCCCACGGGCCGCATGTTTGAGGACCCTGGTTTAGACTCTCAGCCAACTGAATCATATGGAGGCTTGTACCGAATGGACTTGCTGTCTCCAGCCACTGGCTATTAAGGAAACCCCTGGTGATGTGAGTGGCTTGCTTCCTCTCTTCTCATCATCCCAGAGATAATAAGTAACTGTGCAGGATTTGTGAACAAATATTAACCATGTAGGCATTCCAATGAAATTGGTAAGACTGGAAATCTAGATCTTGGAGTAATTCAGAGAAAAGTAAAGGAAACTGCAGGAAAGTCCTATGGAAAAGCAGCAGAACAATGGAGGGTCTTAAAAGCTGCTTCCCAATTAGCCCTCCTTTAAAAATTAGCTATTATGTACTTCTCCAATGATCACAGAGATTGGGAAACCATTTGTTGTCCAGATGACCTTTTCCCATACCTCATTTGTAGTGTTTTTTTTAAAAAAAAAATCATGGACTTAACTGCGGTACCCAGTAAATCACGCTGTAGTATAGAAGTTATTTAGTTATTTATTAGCTACACTTATAGCCTGCCCTTCCTTCAATGAATGTGAGGCATGGTGCTAAACCAGCAAACAGTCAAGCAAACAAAAAACACAAAGTAATAGAGAGAAAAAAGGGAGGAAACAACGTCAAGGAAATTTCACCACTGTTGGAGGCAGAAGATCACAGACAATAGGAAATCAAAATGATAAAATGACAGAAGAAAAGGGCAGGATGTGTAAAAGGGAAGTCACTCATATGGCACACATCACTGTACAGAGCAATTAACAGCAAAAAGTACTGGGATGACAAACAAACAAAAAAACCTTCAGAACTCCAGAGGAGTAAAAACCATCCAAATTTCACCACAATTCATGCAAAAGAGGAGCTTCCTTTAGATGCTGCAAATTAATCCGGTGACATCAGCCACTATGCCCTGCAGGAAGTAAATAGTATGTCCAGCGCAACCCATCCTCACCGCCATTTCCTGGGCAATCCTACCTCCAGCGTTGCCTTGTGTCCTTAGGTCCCCACAGCTCTCCTAGCCGTTTGTTGACCAGAGAGAAGGGACCATTCTCCCCGTCCCCCACTTCTCTGCTCCACCCTTTTCCCAAATAGTTCTCTTCCTTGAATGGGAAGGAAAATCTTTTTGCTGTCCTCAGAATGAGAAATCTGATGTTAGAGGCAAGACTGGGGACTGGGCAATCTTTGGTTTCTGTGCATCCAAAACCAACCCTGACCCACATGTGCTGAGAGCTCCCCAATTCTCCCCCTTCCTCCTCTTCCAGCATCAGAGAGACCAGGGTAGGAGAGCCTCCAGGGGAAGGTGGGGGGAGGACCCAAAGGCCAGGGAGGAAGAAGCACGCCCTCATTCCTAAAGCCCCAGGGACACCTGCCCCAACTCCAGCCAGGTTAGCTCTACCTCCTGCTCATTTGCTTGCTGTGGTGTTAATGTCAAATCTCGCATCCTTCTCTTTTCCAAACTGCTTTTACGTGAGGGGATCCAGACACGTCCCTTTCTCCTGTTTTCTTCTGGTATAAATCATTTCCTCATCATCACATCTTGTGGCAACTGAAATAATTTTTTTTTATTTCTATACAAATGGTTCCCTCATATTTCTTTTGTTGTTTGCGGGGTTTTTTCTAAATTTTCTTTTGTTTTTGCTTTATGTACGATGTCACGCAACTGAATCATCCATACCAGGCAGTGCCTATGATATTCCTCTTCACACGGTGGGTTGGCTCCTTGCATTTTCTCCACCATTTCTCTCTCTGCTCCACTCCTTCCTGCAACTAAATTCTAGCCCGGACTGGGACATTTTTACACTTCACCTGATTCTAGCTACCCCTGGCTACTGTCTTATGTCCAATCCCATTCAACCTGAAAAGGCTGACTTTCTGCCATTGGTGGAAGGTGCTGGGCTAGGACTGTGATGCAGCAGCAATAAGTTATAGTAGGAACAGAGCATTAACTCTCCACCCAGAGCAGCAATAATGTATTGTTTCCTTTAATAAGGGAAGCCCTGGCCCTTAATTTGAAGAACTGAGCATGGGGTATTAATGACAGGACCTTCTGGAGATTATTTATTCACAGGATCTCAGAAGGCAGAAACAATCTGACAGGTTGTCACAACACTATAGTTGCAACAGATAAGGTTTGTCAGAGACCTGTGATCTAGCATGCGCACTAGATCCCACACCCACTAGAGTAGGTATGTTGAAGGGGATCACATTTTTTTCTACTTTGATACTAGGTAGTTGATGGGATACTCAACTGCCATGGTGATGTAGTAACAACCTACCTCTCCCATCCACTGTACTGTTAGTTTATGACTGAAATCTGAATATCCATAGCAGCAGGAAGACGATGCTGCTAATCCAATGAAGAAACAGTAGTAGAGAGGAGAAAGACATCATGAATAAACTAGGAGCAGATACATGCCCCTTATCAGATCCATGCAATTAAGTGCCATATGTGATTATGTTACCACTGCCACCTCTCCAGTGGGTTTTCATAACAGCATGGAGATTGCCATCTGCGTCTCCTGGGTCCTAGTCTGACACTATCCCCCTGCATAACACTGGCTCTCATCAGGTTTATCATCAGTAGCAACAGCATATGTTCTCCTGCTCATAGGGAGGAGATCTATTACCACAGAAGACAAGAGATCAAACTATACATGAGCCCTGGATGTAGAATTGTGTAGAGACAAGAAGATGGGAGGATAAGGAAGATAGGGTGCAAGAGAGGCAGACACCCAAGCAGTGTCACTCATCACAGGACAAAATACACTCGCCATGTACGTGGAACAGAAATCCAAAGGGAGAACACTTAAGCAGGGCATCCTGCTCTGGATTCTGTCTGTGCATGTGCACGCGCGCATGCTATTTGTAGAGCACTATGAAAAAAAAAGCTAACTCTGAACTGGTTGCCTAGAATATGTCTTAATAAGAGTGTATTTTCTTTAAATAAACAGTCTAGAAACATAAAGAAAGAAAGAAACAAAGTACCCGGTAATGTACCCAAGGATTCAACCCAAGGTGTTTTAGATCGTAGTGTTCTGAAATGTTATCTTGTAGGCTAGGTTGAGGAGGCTCCACTGTAGCACATAATAATTTTTAAAAGTAAATGAATAAAAATATTGGAAGTGAAAGAAGTCTGCTCTCTGGAGACAGTCTGGAGTCTGCTTCTTTTGAACTCTAGCTAGATGTGTAAGTCACTGCAAGAGAGTGGGTGAATTACAGAAACGATTTTAATCGATTTAAAACTAAACAAAAGTTCAGCAGGATCTCTCTGCAAAAGTAGTGCGTATAAGAATTGAAAGGTAGGTAAGTCAAAAGACCAATAAATTACTTTCAGAATCGAGGATGAGATGCCACAGGGCTTTCAGAATTGTAAACCATGCCAACAACCTTTAAAAAGAATCTGCGAGGAGGTGGGAGGAGGTAATGGCTTATCAAGAATTACACTTTCTAAAAACAGCCTGTTGCCTTCTGTGAGACTGCATAATTGAACCTAAAGATAGCATGAATTTGGCGGGAGAAAAAAAAAGTATGTTCACTGCTATAGCCTCTTCACATTTTCCTATATATTTCATCCCCCTTACTATTCATTCTTATTGTTCACTTGGATTATTCAGATCATACAAATTCACTGTACACTGAAAAAAAAAACATAATTTATTAAAAGTGTGCTTGATTTCCTCTGAATCATATGCCACTTTAAATTTTAACTCAGATCTTTGCCCAATATTTTTGCAGTCCTTCTCAGGTGTGGACTGGCAGACTAGCTGTCACTGTCTCCCTGATTTGCATCTCCAGGATTGTGGGGACAGTGGTGGTGACACCACGCACAACCCTGCCTCCTTTCATTCTTTGCCTGCTTACGCCTCTCCAAAGATGTTCAGACATGGCATGTTTCTGCCAGCTTCATTGTTTTTCTCCTCCATTTTTTAAAAAATGCATTCAAGCGTGCATATACATGTGGAAAAAAAGAGAGAGAGAAATGGCTGAAGAATGGGACGTGTTCTCCAGTTCTCTGAGTTTTTTTTTCATGCCTTCTTTCTTTTTTTCAGTTATATGCTCCCAGCCGCCACCCCTTCTTCGAGAAAAACCCAAGCTTTTCTTTCCAAGTGTCTCCCAGCCTGGCAGGCATTGCAGCTGACAGCTTATATTTTCACCACCTTATGCAGGGCGAGAAGAGACTCGTAAAGTACAACACAGAGACCAACAGAGAGATGGGTGTCATAGCAGCTTTTTTGTAGTCGTTTCTTCTTTTCAAAAAAAGGATACTAGGCTGTTTAGGGACCTCCTAAACCCTGGACACTTGTTCCCCGTCTCCATCTCTCTTGCAACTGCATCCCTGCAAGGAAGGCCAGTGCCTTTTCTCCACTGCCTTACATGGAAGGAAGATACCATGAAGTGACAGGTCCCAAGGTCTGCTTTACTACGGATAGACTGACCTGGCTATGCCTACTTTAGGACTCCACCAAAGGCTGGGTTTCTTCTTCCCTTGATAAATGGCCTCTGGGTGCCTTAGAACTTCGCAGGCCCAAGGTGCGAAACGGCTCAATGAAGAACAACCCTTGAAACTCTCATCAGAAAGCTGTAATCGACTCCCCCTAGGAGGATATATTTCCAGTGCAGGGGAAAAGATGTGCTCAGGTCTTTCTGGCTGAGTGGTTGGCAAGACGCTGAACTCCCATGATAACTGAGTCACCGCCTCCCTCCTGTGGAAATGCCAAGTTTCCATGCCAACCGAAGGACAGCACACTGTTAATCCAATGGAAGGGAGGAAGGGTGGTAGGAAAGGAAAAGAGGCCAGGAAGGAGCAAAGGGGAGACTTCATCACATCCAGAGTCGCTAGCAATCGCATTCTTTCTCCTGCTGCGAGAGAGGAGGTCCACCATCCTGGCCGGACACAAGATCAAACCAGGACAGACATTCAAAGTAGAAATGAGGCTACTGGATATAAGGCAGAAGGGCTAGCAGTGGAAGGAAAGGCCCACTGCGGTTCTGTCATCAATCCGATCACAAGTACACCCACCACTGAAACTCCAGATTGTAGGGAAGAACTCCAGACAGAGAGAAATGACTAGAGACATCCTGTCACAGTTTTAATTGCCCTTTTTGTGCCAATATGAAAAAGCATCACTCACTCAGGGGGTTCATCACCACATGTGTCATTCATATTACCCAACTCTATTCCCAAGTGACGCTTTGGACCAATGATACAAACCATCACTATCTTATGTTCTCGAAGGCTTTCACGACCGATATTCGATGGCTGTTGTGGGTTTTTCAGGCTGTTTGGCCATGTTCTGGAACATGGCCAAACAGCCCGAAAAAACCCACGACAACCATCACTATCTTGTTTATTGTAAGGAGCTGGAACAAAATTATTTGCAAGGGTTGGGTCTTCTAGTATCAGAGTGTTTGTCCCAGCTGGCCACCATGAAGAGAACAGTCACTTGCCTCGTCCCTCATGGGGACCCCCCACGGGAGTCCCAACCTGTGGGTCGCAAGCCTCAAGGGGGTTGCAAAATGTTTTCTTGGAGGCCACCATTGTTTTCGGAGAAGGAGAACACGTTGCCCTCAACTCTTGCCTCCTCACTGGTTCCCTTCTGCATGTACGTATCCTTTCCCCTCGGTCACATGTCCCAACCCCCAAGTCAAACTCTCTTCGTTTCCCACTGAGGGGCTCCCCGGCTGCCCACTCTCCTCCTTTTTTCGGCAGCAGGAGCAGCCCTTCCTTGGCTCAGGTGGGTGACTAGCTGGCTCAGTCTGGGGACCCGGATGGCGAGGAGTGGGAGGCAGGACCCAGCCACGGTGAGGCTTGACAGGCGAGGAGCAGGAAAGGACTGCCGCCACGCCTGCCACTGCACCCTCCTGCAGTAAAATTCAATTTTAACCTACCCTTGTTACCTCAACCTCTTGGAACCCACTAAGGGACCGTTGAGGTGGTGGCTTTAACATTCAGCTGGAAATTTTGAAGCTGATTACCCGGATGGAAGTACAAACATCACATTAAACATTAAGTTAGAATTATATTCTGGGAAAAAACCCCTATTTTAATGTGTTTTCTTTATCCCATTAAAATGCCTTTTTATGCAAATATGGCAGAGGGTCGCAGGTTACTTGACTATTACAAAAGGGGGTTGTGAGTCAAAAAAGTTGGAAATACTGGTCTAGGAGACACAATTTAAAGGTACGAGTTGACAAATGCATGATTTTTTCTCTGATCCTTCCTTTCAAAAATAGCTACTATTTCAAAATGCTCTGATAAACTTTCCTGCAAATTTTGCAGCAATATATCACTTGGAGTACTCACGTTGTTGACTGGTGAGAGGCGAAGCTGTCGGAGTTTATACTCTAGGGCATCATGTTCTCCAGCATTTTCCACGATGTATGGCCCATACTCTTTGCTGCTTCCCACCTCTGGCCAGTAAGGGACACATTTGTTCTATCAGGAAACAGAGAAAAGGGGTGGCGGCTGACTGCAAAAGAAGGCTAGGTCTGTGATCTTCCCCTAAAATGAAACTTGAAGAGAGGCTTGCAAATATCATTGAAGAGAAAATCCTGAGGAACATTTTAGGGAAACTGAAAGAGTTGCAGCAAAAATAAAAAATAAAAATACAGGCGTACAAAGAGGAGGAGCTTTGACTTTCCCACTCCTACTGCTTTTCCACATTCTTCCCATGGAGCTCCAGATCATCCTACAGTATATCTGAAAGCCCACAGGTAAAACAGCTCCCAGGCTGGTCACTTTTCAGCAGAAAAATGTTCCAAGGGGAGGGCAAATTTCAAACAGTCATGCACTTCTCTTTTGTTTGTATAGGATGCCTGGCTAGCAACACTTCACAGGTGAAAAAAGACTCAGGAAGCAACTAATGATAAGCTCTACAAAGACGATGGAGGTTTAGGTACAAAGGGCCTAAACAATGGGCCCTACTTACCCTTCCTTTCTCCACCTCCCGGGTGGTCATCACAATGATGCGTGAATTTTCTTGCCACACCATCTGCCAGAAATCATTGACGGTGCTGTCCAAACAGCCTTGGCTAGCAATGTAGGATTTAGTGCATTCCTCGGGACTTAAGAGCGTGTTCTGCAAAGAAGCAGGGACGAAGAAAACCGTCATAGAGCATAGTTACAGGAGTGAAATAGTTCGGAATATAAAGCAGTGTTGTTTAAATTGGCTTTAACTCACATGGCAGTCACATGGTAAATGAATCACTGTGTGTGTTCCCTGGGAGAACTTCTAATCCAGTTTTTTAAAAAAGGAGTTGGCACTCGTTTACCCCAACTAGCTGATAAGTGCTTAGCTAGAGAGCAAGCAAGCATCCCATCTGCCTTCTGAACAGCTGTGTCAGGTGTGTCACAGAACAGCTGGACAGTGGGCACTACAGAGAGCAGAGCAAAGCCCAATTTCATCTTATTTTTAAAATTATTTATATTTGGTCTAGGTCTATATCAGATAAGATTTTTTTAAAAATAAAAATAAAAATAACACTACAACAGCATTGGCAAGTGGCTTTGAGAGTCAGCCAGTGGGAGGGCTCCTTAAAAATTAGCACTGATAATGACATTCATGTATGGTGAATCGATTTAAATGAATCAGTTCCACATCTGAGTGAAACAGACCTCTGGTGGAAGAGTAAAAAAAAAACTTGCCACCACTCTAAACAAACAAACAAAAACAAGATTCCCTGTCAAATTAATCCGTGCTTCCACATGTGTTGAGCATTCACACTTTTTAACATTAAAAACACACAAAATGCTATTTAAACGTGGGATTTTTTAAAGTAATATTACCATGCTCTTAAACTGTTAATTGGTCCTCCATCTAGTATAGCACCGTTGACACCGATGGCCATCAGCTCACCGGGGGGGGGAGGGGTTTCCAGACAGGATTTTCCCAGTCTTTATACCTCCTCCCTCCTTTCTGCCAGACATGGCAGGGGCCATGTCTCTTCCTTACCTTGATATAGTTGGCATTGATATAATTAGAGCCACAAACGTTCACATCTCTGTCTTGAAGGATGACTCGGGAGTGGTCAACTAGAACAGCAAAGTTAATATGTCACTAACAAATGCCTTCTGTAAAAAGGGGATTTTGCAGCCCGCCCTCCTCTCCCCCACCCAATATGGTTTCAGTTAGACGTAGTAGCCCCAATGTTGTAATGATGGTACGCAAATCAGCTCTTTCTCCTCATTGTACGATCTTCCTGAAGGACTATCAGGATACTGGTATGCCCTTTAGTTTAATATTACTTCAAGGAATACGTCTACAGAAAGAAAACCCTCTTCCTTCCACACTGTGTAACACAAAGGCTGCAAAAATGGATATAGGGATTCATGAAGCAAAGAGCAATCAATGGCTAATAGCCATGAATCATGATGACTCAAAAAGGCAATATATCTCTGCATGATAAAACCTCAAGCTTGCTGGTTGACCACTGCTGGGAACTGAATACTGAATACTAGCCTAGAGAGTCTCATAAAAATGCTTACCTTCTAAGTACCTTGGCTTAGGCAAAAACCCTTCAAAATTAATTCCATGCACATACACCTTCACCTAAAAAAAATGCTAGTCTGAGAAATTCCAGGCTACCTTGCTTGATTATCTCTTTTTTTTCTTCATCTTGTTCTAGAAAAGCAAGCTTTTGGAACTGTCTCTGGCCGTAGCTATATAAGCAACAGAATGAGCAGATAGAAGTCTATTAGAATAAATGACTTCCATCCGGAGGGGGGTGGATATTATTTCTCAATGCTTCCTCTTGGCTGTGTGGATCCTATCAATAGAAAATGGAAGAAAGGTTCTGATTGGCATTTTGCCTTCATGCTGAGTCTCTGCTTCAGGGGACTTGTTTATGGTTTCCCAGGCAGAGCCGCATTCAAAAATGTGACCCTTCCCACTTTAGCTGAAGTCGTTCATTGCATTCTGCTGCCTCAGGACATTCTGCTACCGGCATGTTGGGCGACAGGAAGTGTTAGGCATTCCCCCCCAGTCTGTCAGTGGGGCCTTGGGGTGCCCCCCTCAAAAACGTACTGTATATGTGAAGCTAAGAATGCAGATTTTCCCTTTCTGTCTGTTTCCAGGAGCAACAATTCACCTTCAAAACAATGTGCCGGGGCCTTATTTCATCCCCGATGATGCCAAAAAAGGGTTTTATGAAACCATAAGCAGATGTCCAGTCATTTCCAGTTTCATTTAGGGAGATGATGCTTAGGCCCACCGTGTGCCCAGGGACTGAAGACTGGCTCACGGATCATTCCCTCCCCACTACCTGATCCCTACTGCTTAGACAGAATCAGTCCCGGAGGCAAGCATTCCAGACTCACATGGTAATATGTTCTTATACCGGTTCTTGCTCTTGTTTTCCAGCCTTTGCCCTTCATGCCGATCATACAAATTCTTGGTCTCTTGTTTCTGCAAGCTCTGGAAGAAGAAAAGGTGAGGGAGAATGTTAAAAAAAACAAAAAGTAAAGTGTACTGTTTATATACCATCCCATAGTGCTTTATGCACTCTCTGGACGGTTTACAAGTGAATTATGCAGGCTACACATTCCACTTCTCCTTAAGCTGGGTACTCATTTTACTGACCTCGGAAGGATAGAAGGCTGAGTCAAACCTGAGCCTGCTACCTGGGATTGAAACCCAGGTTGAGCACAGTTTTAGCTGCAGTACAGCAGCTTAACCGCTGTGCCCTGAGATTCAACAGTAGCCAACAATGACAAGCATGGTTGGCTACTGGAGGAGAGGCATGTGGGCTTATGATGACTGAGCCGGTGCCAACCCTACCAGTCAGCTGGCTGAGACAGTTACCTTGGGGGACAGGATGCGAGGCGCACTGAACTGCCCTTCTCGCCCCATCAATACATTTACACTGGAACCGAGATAACTTTCTCTCCTCCCCGCCTGCCTGGCCTCCCTCCCATCTCCTTCCTCCCTCCTTCCTTCCCTCCCTGCTCACCCGCTCATTCAGCAATAGCGGCCTCTCTTTCTCCTTGGGCTCTTTGCTTGCATTTTCAGAAGGCCAGCCGACAGGCCTGTCTCTTTCCAAAAGCATGAACCCATGCACCAAGAGAGCAACTAGCTGGTGCCTGGCAACAACAATGAGAATCAGCCACAGGTGCAGCCCGCCAAGAAGGGAGACAAGATGCAAGGAAGGCACCAGCAGGAATGGGCTGGGGGAATGCTTGGGGACTGCAAGGTTGCCTCACGTAACAGGAGAACTTAGGCCACCATTGTTAGAGAAAGCGTTTGAGATCTAAATGATTTTAATTCTTGAATACAATATGTTGTTGTACCTTACAAAGGCACTGTGAGGTCTCGGCTATAGATTATGGGCCTGTTAGGTGAGGAAATCTCTCTCTAGGTTCAACAGAACTCCGTTTGGGGCAAGAAAAGACACCCCTGCTTGTGGCATCTCTGTTTCCCTGGACCCTCTCTTTCTCTTCTCTTTCCATTGTCCACTGTATCAAATATCAAATAGCACGTGCCCTGCGGCAGTTCTATTTATCCGTGAAGGGTCAAGTACCATTATAAACAGTACCATGGTGGTAAATTTGAAAGTGCAGGTACACTATATGATGATCTCCATAGTCGCCCCCCCACAACAGTCCAAACACACAAGCCACTGGATTTCTCTATACAGTATCAACAAGTGAGCGGGTCTTTTGTAAAGCTAATGATTTTTAATTGCCCATTCAAGACCAAACCACCCTCAAGTGCACAACATCACAACAGGTCAATAGAGCAACGGCTAAACCCTGTAAGACAGTGGTCCTCCATCTTGGGCTTCCAGATGTTCTTGGACTACAACTCCCAGAAGTCTTCACCACCACTTCTGCTGGCCAGGATTTCTGGGAGTTGAAGTCCAAGAACATCTAGAGACCCAATGTTGGGGACCACTGCTGTAAGACATAAGAAAGAAGAATCATCTGCACAAGTCTCCACTCACATCAAACTCTTCCCAGAAACCACCTTTGGCTGCTTCTTCCACTTGGCTCCTCTTGTTGAGCATCTGCACTCGGTCCTCAATGTCAGCTGCATTCACTCGAGTGGCATTAAAAGGCTAGGGGAAGAAAGAAAGTAGTATACAATATAGATCAAAACGGACCTTCCTCAAGCAAGAAGTAAAATTCAAGTGTTCCAAAAGTTCTTTACTGCTACAGGGATGGCCTTGCTGTTTATATACAGTACATATGGTTACAGTAGAACCCTCATATGCATGAGAGATCAGTTTCAAGCCCCACCCGTGGATGCTGAAAAATGCTTACTACAGTGAATGGTATTATAATAGCGAACTCTATACATAGCATAGTGTCTTGCTCCCTCTAGTGGCCAGTTCTGGTAACTTCATTGTTAGAGATATATGTTTATGGAATTTTAAAAAATATTTTTAATATGTTCATATCCTGGATATGTAAATCAGTGGATATTGATCTTGCAGTTAAGAAGTCTTACTATATTAACATAGACTTTCCAGACTTCCAGCTTGACGCTGCGACAAAACAGCAGGAGAAGGACGGAGCTCAGTCCCCTGGGCTGAATTCCAACCTATTTGGGACTCCCCCCAAGGGTGTTAAAACCACCATCAAGAGGTGGTGAAATGGGGGAGGAGCCTATTGATTGTGGGGGGGATGGCAGTTACCCACGTTTGATCCAAGAAACCCCCCAATCAACCAGCAGCTGAATTAGCTTGCTTGCAAGTTGTCGGCAGATGGCAAAAGAAGAGATAAATCAGCCAGTTTAACATCATAATTACCACTGGGTGAGATGCAAAATCTTAACTATACTGCTCTATGACTGTCCCTGGATGGAATAATCCCTTTAACATTAAAAAGTGTCTCCTAGCCCCCACCACTAAACAGAGCAGCGGTGGATCTGAAGAAGGGGATGCAAAGAGACACAAAGAAAATAAATTGGACATTAATTAAACACTTAATTATACTTCAAGGAAGGAAGTTTGGTATTACTTAAGAAATTTTCCTCTTAAAAGTATTTTTGCCAAACAACGCTGGGAGTTAAACTGTTATGTATTGGCAAAAAGCCCAGAACATGACCTTGAATACTCAAACTTGGAACTCTGTTTTGACTTTCCTTCCCCCCAACCCAAAGAACTGACTAAAAGATAGACAATTAACTTTGGAAAGTCTAATACAAACATAGAGTGAATGGGGTTGTCAATTTACGTCAGAGACTGGATTCAAAATTAACCCTAAAGGTGATCAATTTACTAAAGTAGACTTATTGAAGCAATTATTGATGGATCTGGTCTGAATGCTCTAAGCTACTAAACATCTTTCACTTGAAATACAAGTACTTGACATCTTGGGACATAACGCTACAACAAGGGAAATTCTGGGATGAAACAAAATCTACCCTTCAAGCAATCTTAGAAATAGTAGGATCCCATAACAAAGAAGTGAAATCATTCAAGGAGAAACTAAAGAAGAACTATATTCAACAGGAGACAGGGAATAATGAACAAGGAAATGTGAGGGTGGTGGACGATGTATGCCAACCAAAAGAAGAGGTGGAAGAAATCAGAGGGAAAAATTTAGGAGCCGAGTAGAATTTTAGCTATGTTAAGGGAAGATAAGGGGAGAAAATCAGCAGAATTATTTAAAAATAGCTGCAAGATCTATTGGAGATAGATCAAGTGTATAAAATGTTTTCAGATGACAAGGGATGGCAAAATGTTTAGAGAAATAGAAACAAGAATTGAGAAAAGATAAATAAGAGAAGGAGTTACTTAAAAAGATGAAAAAGAGAAAAAATTTAAGGTGGCCCTCAACGTTCAAAGCATGTATACAATTAACTCAAAGCGATTTCATCACTCAACGGAGCAATCGCTAAGCGAGGCACCACTGTAGTACTTAATTAATATATATTATATATGATATTGATATAGACATGATAGAAAATGTGGAGATCGAAATGGCTAAACAATTATATAAAGAAAATCTGTATAAAATGCTTTAGATAACACCTATTGTGTGTTAGGAACCTACTCAATTATTACTGGTATAAAATACAAAGTTTGTCGGTTAAATCACCTCAAAATTATATAGATTTGGAACCGGAATTAGTTTATTAGGTACGTTTCTAGAGGATTTTGAGAACATTATATATTCTGAGAGCAATACCCTGTTTCCCCTAAAATAATGTATAAAATGCTTTAGATAACACCTATTGTGTGTTAGGAACCTACTCAATTATTACTGGTATAAAATACAAAGTTTGTCGGTTAAATCACCTCAAAATTATATAGATTTGGAACCGGAATTAGTTTATTAGGTACGTTTCTAGAGGATTTTGAGAACATTATATATTCTGAGAGCAATACCCTGTTTCCCCTAAAATAAAACCTAACCTGAAAATAAGCCCTAGTATGATTTTTCAGGGTGCTTGTAATATAAGCCCTACCCCCAAAATAAGCCCCAGTTAAGTGAAACCCCACCCTCCATCACTGTGCAGCAACCAGAAGAAGATGACATGACTGTATTTGAATAAATATAGATTGTTGTACATGAAAAATATAAAACATCTCCTGAAAATATGCCTTAATGCATTTTTGCAGCAGAAATTAATATAAGACCCTGTCTTATTTTCGGGGAAACAGTATATTGTATACTAAAACACACACATGAAATATTTAAATGATTAAAAAATGTATAGATTATGAAGAGACAACTAAGACACCAAGACACAAAAAACAAATAATTATAAGCAACCCATGTAACATGGTATTTAACAAGCACAAATTGAATGTAGGTAGATTGAAAAATAAAATATTTTTTAAAAACCCAACAACATAGCCTTTCTAGTACCTTAGCCCACGCCTATGATAGTCCACAAGTATACAGTCAAATATTGTGGGAATGGCTATGGATGTAAAATGGATAAATTTGCTGTTTTTTAACAGTCACACAACGCAAAGGCCAGTTTTAATCAGTCCAGCTCTTTTTGTTCCAGACACACAGGTGTGTGTTTTTCTCTCTGCTAGTGGAGGCTTCTACTTTTTTTCAAATTCGTACAATTTGAACAAACTTTCCCCCCATGTGATCAGTTGTTTTGTTCTCCAAAAGGATGGGGGGGCATGAATGTAGCTGGCGTTTCAGTGACCCCCCCATGTGATCAGTTGTTTTGTTCTCCGAAAGGATAGGGGGGCATGAATGTAGCTGGTATTTAAGTGATGTACGTATTAAGTTGGGCATAATGTTTTGGATAGCAGGAACACACATTCCCTAGTCGCACCACAGTATTTTTTTTTTATATTTAAAAAACAAACTACCAAGTCCAGCTCTAGATCACCTTACCGCTACATTAATATACCAGTTTAGTGCTAGATCATCTCTGCATGGGCAAAAAAAAAAAAAAAGATTAAAACTGATAAGAAATAGAAATAACTCTGATGAAGCATGGCCAACTACTATGTTTCCACTCTATGTGTGTATGTGTTTGCACATTGTGGAGAACATTGGAAAACTGTCCCATTTCCCCAGCACCGTGTAACCCTTGAAACAGCCCACTGGCTTTACAATCCAACTTTTTAAAAAAAGTTTTATGGATATCAAACAAAAAACCAAAAAACCAAGTGACAGAAATGTTGTGACCAAGTTTTATGGATATCAAACAAAAAACCAAGAGACAGAAATGTTGTGACCCCTTAAAGATTAACTGCTGTATTTTAATGTGAACTCTTGTGAATAAAGTCCACTTTCCTCAGACATTAGAGTGAGACTATATGGCTGTTATATTTATACATGGGCCCCATGACCAAGTGGGGATACAGACAATGTACAAAGTGAAAACGAACCATTAATGATCCATTAGTAAAGGAATATGAGAGTCATATAGTCTCACTCTAATGTCTGTGGGACAGGACTTAATCCCTAAAAGCTCACTTCAAAATATAGCAGTTAATCTTTATGATGCCACAGTAGTTTTGTCTGTTTGACTTTTTTTTATCTGATATGCTTGCACTGACTCACATAGTTGTGTCTTTGAGACTTATGGATACTGGTTTTACTAATTTTTTAAATCTTTATCTGTCTTTCTCTTTAATTACATGTTCCCTCCAAGATTTCGTACAGCAGCAGCCCCCAGAAACTGTATAAATGTATTATGAGGGATGAACGAACCTTCTGTGTGTAAACAAGCCCGCCGTGTCTGCCATCATATTTACCTGTCTCAAATACACAAAGGATCCAGATGCCTCCTCAATGCCTGTCTTCTTAAAATGTTCCACCAGGTCAGTCAAACTGCTGAATTTCTCTATGCCCCCAATTGTGTACTTTCCTTTCTGGAGGAAATAGGACATGTTATTTCTGCTCCCTTCTAGCCCCATATACAGTATTATTTTTTCTGATGACATCTCAGTACTAAGACCACCTTAAGAGATTCAGGTAACAAGTGACAATCTAAACTTTGAACATTCATACAGTGTTTCAGAAGGGGCAGAATCTTCTTGGGTCTATCCTACTAAAATAAAAGAGAACCAATACAAAACTTCTGTTGGACTCTTACACAACTCTCTTCATTTCAGTGGGGCTTGGCCAAGACCATTTCCTCAGGAATTGTGCTCTATGTGCCTAACCTTCTGTGTTCCTGTCTTGCTACCTTCAGCATCACCCAAAATCCACCATGTTTTTGGCCCTTGCATGTTACCTCATGAGAAGGCCACCACTGGTTATTACATTGAGGTATAAAACTCTGACCTTCTCAACCTACCTCTTCTGCATTTGACCATTAAATGCTTCACAGCTATAAATCTCTCTCTCTCTCTCTCTCTCTCTCTCTCTCTCTCTCTGCTGAGCTGGTTCACCAACTCCAGTTGGCTTCCAGGGAGCTACAGTTACCTGGAAAAATCCACTGTTACTTATTTGACTTGATGCAGCTAGTTCAGTCACTGTTTGCAAAAGGGTCTGTAGGGGGCTGTGGTGACCACTGTAGTGTCTTTTTCGTTTTCCCAGCCCAGCTTTGTACAGGGCACAGATTGTCTACAGCTGGTTAAATACAGATGCTCTTAAAAAATAGCAGTTGCACAGACTTTCAGACAGATTTGGGAGGGGCACTTGAAATAATTTCAGATTAAATGCCAGAGCATCCTCTTCAATAGATCCTGATTGGCAGCACTTCTCATTATTCAGTATGATTTATAGACACTTAGGGGGGACACTATAGGGACGTGGTGGCGCTGCGGGTTAAACCGCAGAAGCCTCTGTGCTGTAAGGTCTGTAGATCTTCAGCTATAAGATCGAATCCACGCGACGGAGTGAGCGCCCGTCGCTTGTCCCAGCTCCCGCCAACCTAGCAGTTCGAAAGCATGCAAATGCAAGTAGATTAATAGGGACCACTTCGGTGGGAAGGTAACAGTGTTCCGTGTCTAAGTCGCACTGGCCATCTGACCACGGAAGATTATCTTCGGACAAAACGCTGGCTCTATGGCTTGGAAACGGGGGTGAGCACCGCCCCCTAGAGGCGGACATGACTGGACAAAAATTGTCAAGGCGAACCTTTACCTTTACCTTTACGGGGGAAGTGGACAGAAACAAAAAGGAAGACTTGTTTACACTTGGCCTTGAGAGGATTTTGTCATTTGCTTTGTATTCATCAGATTCGGCCTTGAGTTACGTACATCTTCTTTCTCTGATGGGTCATATGCCAGCCTCTACCCTGACCAGCCCCTACAGTTCTTCTGCCTTTGTTTCTCAGGTTCCATCTCCTGAATCTTGAGAGAACTAACAAACACCCTTCCTACTCTGTGGTCATCTGCTGAGGCTGAGGAATCCAAGGACTTCTTCTGCAACTCTCTTCCCTTTCTTTTCAAAATATGAAAACCGTGTGGTATCGGTGATCTGCTTCACCCATCGCCACTGGCAAGGTCTCAGGCCTTCATCTCCATCCTGAACATTCATGTCATCTTTCCTTATCTGGCTGATCCCAGTTCTCCTCACTGCTGGGTTGTTTAAGCACTTGCTACCAAAGTCATTTATGGAGAGGGCTGACAACCCACATGGCATAGAGTTCAAGGCCCTGGACTTTCATCGAAGAGCTAGACAGTCACATCCCTGCTTAGCCACAACACTGACTAACCTTGGGCCCAGTCAATCTAGCTCACACATTTGACACAAAGATAGAATGGGGGCACATATTTTAGAATGTTAAAATTCAAATATGATCAATAAAATAATCAAAAATAAATATGACTCTGAGAATTCCTGGAGATTTCTCAATCTGGGACTGTGGTCTTAGGAGAGAAGCTAGTTGAGGGTGGTTTGCTCACTCTCCTCTAGGAAGAGAAAAGGACTTCTGTCTCCTTCACTCCCCTCGCTCTCCTAGCTTCTCACCTCACACAGGATCTTGACATGAGTGACTTTGAGACGTTCTTTGGGGGTGCTGGTGGCCCCAGCCGGGGTGGCATCAATTCCAGTTTTAGCTTGATCAGTCAGGACAGAGAGCACAAAATCACCAGGCTTGCTGAGGCTCTCTCGTACCAAAAAGGTCCATGGTGCAGCCTTGGCTTGGAGTAAGGTCTCTGCCGCTGGTCCTGAAAGATGTCCATGGTACCACCTGAGGAGGAGGAGGAGGAGGAAAGGTGAGAAAATGGACAGGTTGGGGAGAGGGCAGAAGGTCACAGTAGCTGAAGCATATTTCAAGAAAGGATCTCATCTGGCTCCAATGGAAAGGCTCAGTTTGCTTTGGAGCAATGTCCCTTTGTCGGGAAATCATTCCAGCCACCGAGCCCCCACAAAAAAGGAATCCTGCCAGTGTACCACAAAGGTCCAGTTTGGGCATAGGTCAGGGTTGAGCTGGAGCAGACCTGCTCACCAGGAAACAGTTCACAACAGATGGCACCACAAGCAGTCCAAAATATGAGGTATACAGTATGCCTATGTGATCACACCCAGAGAAGGACATGGCCCAGGGAAAAGAATGGGTGCATTAAATGATATTAAAAGTTTTAAAATGTTTGTCTGAACCAACAGAGTGATATTAAATTCATGAGTGTGGGCCTGTTTGTTTGCTTATTTATTTATTGTATAAACAGTTAAAATGTTAAAATGTGCCTTTGTAGTCTTTTAAGCCATTAACTGTCCACTAGCATTTCCTGATCTTGTTGACATCACGCGTTTCTCCCAGAAGTGTTGTCCTCTGGCCTTTTTCATTTTTACTGCACACTCCTACGCATTCAGCAATTTCTAAACTACGCACACATATAAGCATAAACAAATCTTGTTGACCTGAAAAGAACACACATTTTGCCTGACCATGAACAGTCCTTTGTCATGGTGAAAATAATCACACTGCAGGTATTAAGGACACAGCCGCACTCAAAATGTTTATTGAATGCCGAGCAGCATGCCGCTCAGATAGAAAAGTGAAATGGTATGTCGTTAAGATCAGTAGGGTGAGTCCCACGGCTCCAGGTGGAGTAGAAAAGAGAAGAGAAATCAGCACGGGGGAAGAACGAGACCTGTTCTGTAATTTTACTGAGATTTCCCAAAAAGGTCTTGTGACAACCCCAGACCTACTGGAGTATACCACACTTTAACTATGCTGCCACCAACCATTCCCTATAAGAAGTCACACAGACCAGGAATGGATTTTACTAAACAAAAGAACAAGGTTTATTTAAATAACAAACAGGGAAAACAAAATGATCAGGTAAATAAGATACTGTAACGTGGCAAAGTCCCAAACATATACATATAACAGTTTGGTTCACACAGAACACTTTAAAGTAAAGCACAGACCCTGAACCTATCAGTTCTGGCTACCTATAAAGAAACCTGAACCTATCAGGTATGTACTAACTGACACACAGTTGTACTCAGTCTGACACACAGACTCCAACTCCAGCTTCTAAACTTCTCCACATCAGCTCCAAATATATATACAGTACAGCTCATCCCCCCTGATGTCCCGCCTTCCACTCCCCATAGGATGGAACTTTCCCTCCAAACCCATGACAGACAGGTACCATCAGTGCTGTATGTAACACCTCCCCTCTTTATAAGTTGTTTTGCAGGGGAAAAGCTAAAGTGCTTTTCTCCAAAAAAACAACCAGGATCAAAACATATAACAGTTATACATTATAACACAATACCATACTTACTCATACTTAAACTCTAGGTTAAACATATCACTTATGCATTTTAACATTCATATTTACAATACATTAAGTTACCTTTATTAATACAAACCAAGCATGTTTAATAAACAAGTACATTTAACTTTTAGTCCCCAAAATATATACATAGTCCATGGTTTCTTCGCCGTCTTCACTCGTCGGGTCTTCGTGACAAGGCGTCAGCAACACAGTTCATTGACCCTCTGACCACCTTCACTTCAAAGTCAAAATCTTGCAGGTTTAAAGCCCACCTCATAAGTTTACTATTATGGGTTTTCATTGTCTTTAACCACTGCAGTGGTGAGTGGTCAGTGCACAGAACAAAATGTCTTCCCCAGATGTAAGGTTTGGCCTTCTGAATCGCGTACACTATGGCCAGGCACTCCTTTTCCACCGTTGCCAAATGTCTCTCACCTTTCTGGAGTTTCCTACTCAGGTAGGACACTGGATACTGGTCGCCATTTTCATCCTCCTGGCAAAGAACTGCTCCTACCCCACTGTTAGACGCATCGGTGTAGATGATGAACTCCCGATCGAAGTCTGGAGCACGCAGCACTGGATAGTTGATGAGGGCCTCCTTCAACCTCTGGAACGCCTCCTCACAGTCGCTGGTCCACGGGATGCGGTCATCAGTCTTCTTCCGCGTCAGATCGGTCAGCGGAGTCGCCATCTCACTAAACCTCGGGATGAACTTTCTGTAGTAGCCCACCAACCCAAGAAATGATTTGACTTTTTTCTTGGTGTTGGGCCTGGGCCAATCACGAACGGCTTCTATCTTGGCCTCTAGGGGTTTGATCACTCCTCCCCCTACTATGTGACCCAAGCATTTTATTTCTGGGCTACCCAGCTGACACTTGCTCGCCTTTACCGTTAGCCCTGCTGCACTTAACCTCTGCAGCACTAACTCCAGGTGTTTCAGGTGATCTTCCCAGGTATTGCTGAAGATCCCTATATCGTCAATGTAGGCCACAGTAAAGTCACTGAGCCCTGCTAAGGTCTGGTCCATCAGCCTTTGGAATGTGGCTGGTGCATTTCTGAGACCAAAACTAAGGACTCTAAACTCATATAGACCGAAAGGGCTGCAAAATGCGGTCTTTTCCTGATCCCTGGGATCAATCCTTAATTGCCAGTAACCCTTTACTAGGTCCAACGATGAAATGAACCGACAACCCCCTATGGTTTCAATCAGGTTGTCTAGCCTGGGCATTGGGTAGGCATCAGGAGTGGTTACGCGGTTTAATTTCCGGTAATCTACACAAAATCTAATGCTCCCATCAGGCTTGTCCACCAGGACTATCGGAGAGGACCAAGGACTAGAAGAGGGGACGATTATGTTCTCCCTAAGCATCTCGTCCAGCTCCTTCCGCACCTTGTCCCTATAGGGTCCCGTCACTCGGTACGGGGATACTGCTTGCGGGGGTGCATCCCCTGTGTGGATCCGATGCATCACTCCCTTCACTATCCCCGGCTTATTTGAAAAAACCTTATGATATTTAGTGAGCAGCACTTTTAGTTCTTGCTGCTGGTCTTGGGTGAGTGCAGGACTGATCTTCACCTCATCTGGGTTGTATTTCACTTCCCCTCCACCCTCCCAGAAGGGCAATTCAGTTTCCTCACTCTCAGCTGCTTTTATGGCAAATAAAACCCTCTGTTCCCCTCTGTAGTAGGGTTTCAGGGCATTCACATGTACCACCCTCCGTGCTTGGTGTTCCTCCTGTTCTATAAGGTAGTTCAGGTCCGACATCTTGGAAATGACCCTGTATGGTCCTGCCCATTTGAGCTGCAGTTTGTTCTCTTTGCAGGGCCTAAGCCAAAGCACTTCCTCCCCTGGGTTAAAGTGCCTCTCCCTGGCTTTCTGGTCATACCAGGTTTTCTGTCTGACCTTCTGAGCTTGCAGGTTTTCTGCTGCTAGCTCTAGGTTTCTCTTCAGGTCATTCATTAAAGTGTCTATATACGTCACAACATCTTGTGGGTCACCCTGGGTGATCTGCTCCCAATTCTGTTTGATTAAATCAAGTGGACCTTTTACTTTTCTCCCAAACAAAAGTTCAAACGGACTGAACCCGGTACTGGCTTGGGGCACTGATCGGTAAGCAAACAAAAGGGATTGCAGCTTCTGGTCCCAATTGTTTGGATTCTCTGCCAAGTAAGCCCTAATCATGCGCATCAGAGTCCCATTGAACTTCTCCGTTAACCCATTACTTTCGGGGTGATAGGCAGTGGTTTCCTTGTGTTTAATTCCACAGATTTGCCATAACCGTTTCATAAGCTTTGATGTAAACGATGTGCCCAAATCTGTGATTATTTCTGAGGCAAATCCCATCCTGGACAAATACCCCACCAAGGCATCTGCCACTGTGTTAGTTTCGATGTTAGTCAAGGGAATGGCTTCGGGGTACCTCGTGGCATGGTCCACAATGGTGAGAATGAACCGGTTCCCCCTCTTTGTGGCCTTGGGCAAAGGTCCCACAATATCCACTCCTATACATTTGAACGGGGTGTCAATCACAGGCAAAGGGCACAACTTCGCTTTGGTCCTGTCACGGTTATTCCCCTGCCTCTGACACACATCACATTGTTTACAGAACTCCTTGATCTGCTTCCCTATTTCAGGCCAGTAAAAATTTTGTGTGATTCTCTGCTGTGTTTTGTTCACCCCCAAGTGCGCAGCAAACATGTCAGAGTGCCCCCTTTGTAAGATCATGGGGCGATACTTTTCAGGTACCACCAGCTGACTTCGGATCCCATCTCCCCCTTTTGAGATATTCATCAGGGTCTCTCTATATAAAATTCCCTTTTTCTCGCGAAATCTCGCTGGGGTTTCAGGTGTTAGCTGGGTGTCTGTCACCTGTTCAAAACACTTTCGGAGAGTGGCGTCTGCCTTTTGCTCTTGGCCAAATTTGCTGTCTGTGGCTAAGGTTTCT